TCAGTCAGGCTGGGCCGCTGCCCCGCTCCTCTTCCCTCCCTGGCTCCGGTTCTGCCGCTGCGAGGAAAACACAAGACAACACCTCAGGGGGGCGTTCACTTCCCTCCCAGAGTCCACAGGCACGCAGGAAATAGCCACAATATTTCACGTTCCTTCACTTAGCTGTTTGGCGGGCGTTAAATGAGTCTGAAGTCAAGGCTGGATCCTCCCGCGGCGTCCTCTGATCTCTCCCAGGAGATAGAAAGCGTTGGTACCGCAACCCAAAGTAGTTCCAGGAACGCGAATCCCGCTGCTGCCCGGTTACTCTGTAGCGGCTTTGCCCCGTGTCTCTTCCCTCTCGCACACCTGTCAGCGTCCTTATATAAAGTCCCAATCCCCCAGTTGTCCAATCCCAAGCCGCATCAGTCCGTGATTGAGAGCTGCGCAGCTGCTCTCAATAAGAAGTTCATTGTTCCATGCTCATGACAAGAAAACACAAATCCATGCAAATAAACAAGCAAACATCTCAGAAAAGAAAAACATGCAATTGATAATTGGAGCAAAACGACATGCAATTGACAACTAGAGCAAAATTACTTCTGCACAGTAAAGGAGCACTGCAGAAACTGTCCCAACTTTGACATACACATGGGTAGTAAGTTTGTACTGCAGCCTTCGACCACTAAAAACCCCAAATAAAAAAAGAAGAACTTGCGTTCTAGAAGTATACAGCATACTGTAAGGGACACAGACATACTATATAAATCTCGTCTTGCACAGGTATTGAACACATACTGAGTATTACATTGGTTTTATTGTGTACCAGGATAATACCAGTACCAGTTAAACTGAGGGTATACACTCTTACTGCAGAGCGGATGAAAGATCTAAGGTAACCTTCTGTTTTACATCTAGGATGTCTCAGTCTGCCTCTGAAGGGGCTGCCCATGGTCTCCACAGTGTAATGCAGTGGGTAGGAGGGTTTTCTAAGATGGAGCTCAACTTTCCCACCATCCTCCGTTCACACGTCTCCTCAATTGGATCCAGTGGGCACCCCAGAACCGAGCTAGCTTTGTTAACTAGCTTGTTCAGTCTTTTAGTCTGTCAGGATTTTAGCAGGTGGGAATTAAATCCGAAGGACCTCAGCCCCCTCGTTAGATCGAGGTAGCTTTGGCCCTTCTTATACAGAGCATCTGTGTTGTTGGACCAGTTCAGTTTTACTGTTGAGGTGAACACCAAGTACTTAAAGGTATCCACCACCTGTCTGATCCTTGGATGTTAACTGGTGAGTGAGGTGGAATGTTTCTCTGGAAGTTAATCATTTCCTTTGAATTGCTGGTGTTCAAGCAAAGGTGGTTACACTCACACCAGTCCACAATGTCCACGATGACTGACCTGTACTCCGGGCCATTCTCCTCAGATACACAGCTGACAATGGCCGAGTCATCAGAGAACTTCTGGAGGTGACAGCTGGTGTAGAAAGGGAAGAGAAAGGGTGAGAGCATCGTACCCTGTGGAACTCCAGTACTGCACACAACCACCTAAAACATACAGTTGTACAGCCTCACATACTGTGGCCGTGGTGAGGTAGTTGATGGTCCTTGCAGTGAGATGTTCATCCACTCCTGCACCCCACATCTTCTGCTGCAGTAGACACGACTGGATGGTGTTGAAGGCACTTGAGAAGTTGAAGAACGTGAATCTCACAGTGCATCTCGAGGTGAGTCAGCACCCGGTGCTGCAGGTAGATGAGCGCGTCCTCTAGCCCCATGTTTGGTTTGTATGCAAATTGCAGTGGGTCTATGTCTGGGCTCACCACTGAACGTAGATGGGAAAGGATGAGTCTCTCCATGGTCTACATCAGATGGGAGGTCAAGGCGACTTGTCTGTAGTGGTCTGGTTACCTGGGATGGGATGTTTTGGGAACTGGAACCACACAGGAGGTCTTCCACAGGATGGGGACCTGCTCCAGCTGAAGGCTCAGGTTGAACATGTGCATGACCACTTCACAAAGCAGGTCAGCAAAGTCTTTGAGGAGCTTTCCTGCTCTTAAGCTGCCTCTGTTCTCTCCTCACCTGGTCAGATGTACATGTTCTTCACACACAAAAAGCAAGTATCTGACTATTATACACTGCATCAGTGTGCTCCAAAATCGTGGGCCTGCCTGTCAGAACTCTTGCTCAGGTTTTCTATCAACAAGCCCTGAGACAGGCAGCCAAAATCCTCCACAACCCCTCTCACATTCTTCACCCCGCATTTCAATGGCTCTCCTCTGGGCGACGCCTACGCTGCATTTCCTGCAAGACTGAGGAGGAGCCACCTTTGTCCCCAAAGCCATTCTGCTCTTTAACTCCAGCAGATAAGACCATCCCCCGATAAACCCTCTCCTTGGACTCTCCATATATTTAACTTTTATGCAGACGACACTTTAGTCACTTTATTCACTTATTCAGTGATTTTTGCATATTTTACTGTTTTATCCATCTTCTTGCTGCTTTATTACTTCCTTATTGCCTATTTATTCAATGTTTGTATGTCCAACATCATGCTACTCTGCTGTTATTTTTTTTTAATTGCCCCTCGGGGATAAATAAAGTTTTTCTGATTCTGATAATGTTTTTACCTGTGTGTGCTTGTTACCAACATATCTGTTGATCTTTATTTTAATTAAACTCTTAAAGTACCTTGTGTTTTCAACTTAATTTAAGATCGCTGTCACAGCTATTCAATACCATTACACATAAAAATGGTTAGAACTTAGTCAATTTTAAAGATGTTGAGATGAAATTTGGCTTGTTAGTATCTGAGAGTCCTTCACCACACATTTTCAAAGCACTAGTTCCATAAAGATTGTTTGAGTTAAGCAGGGTGTTATAAAGCAGGGAAAAGTTGGGATGCCCCTGCTTGTTGCTAGTGATGCACCGATATGAATTTCTGGGGCCGATACCGATAGCTCAACCAATCAATCAATCAATCAATCAATCAATCAATCAATCAATCAAAGCTTTATTTATAAAGTGCCTTCTGCAACCCTGTCAGGAAGCCCAAAGCGCTGAACATGGTTCAGTTGAAGGTAAATATATTGAATAAATCAAAAATAAAAGCAATTCAAATTACAAAATAGGTGAAACATTCTGGTACAGGACAAATGTGTAAAACAATGGATAGAGTGAACCAATGAAAACTGATGTTAATATCACTATTATGGCTGATAACCAATATTTGCTGATACCAATATACTGACATTAATGCTTCTAATATCAGCAGATTTTCTATAGAATGAAAATTAATAAAGCTGAATTTACAGTGTTATGTGCACACAGCACACACATTTACACTTCTGAGATTATTACAGTCACTGTCACATCACAAAAACACATCACCCCATCACCCTCTGAAACAGAAAAACAAATGGAAACAAGATGAAAAAAAATCTGTTGTTGATATTGGCCTCCCCTGCTTGCTATGTATTTTTAAATGCTCTGCATCCTTTTCTGGAGGTTGGGGGCGCAGATTGTGAGCAGATTTCGACCCCAAAACCAGGTTCCCTGGCCTGCTAGGGTTTTTTAAAAGATCTGCATCCTTTTTTTGATGTCGGAGCTGGTGGTTCTGAACAAGTTCCGACCCAGAAACAAGCAGCCCTGGATCACTAGGAATCTTTAAAAGCTCCCCATCTGCTTCTGGAGCTCAGTGTGGACCTCCCTGACCTGATTCAGGTGATGATCTGGGATCGAGGAGCGTTTCGTGATTTCCAAACTCAACCATGGGGCTCTGCGTTATAGGATTGCTGAAGTCCTATCACATCGCTGAGATTGTGATCCTCTGGTCTGAAGTGCGCACCACAAACAACCGTGTTTTCAGCTGGACAAAATGCACCAGAAACAAAAGATGGTGGCGGTCATTCTCTTCTTTGGAAACTTGTGGAGTAGTTGTCTGGACCGGCTGGAGTTTGTACATCCTCCACACAATAGTTTACCATTTTCTAGGAAAAATGAGAGGAATCCAGCTCTATAACATTATCTATCTGAAAACTACTTATTTACCACAATGATCTTTAGGCAGGATTAGCTTTTAACTCTCCCTTGTTGCATCAGATAAATTTTAAAAAGCACGAAACAAAAAGGGGAGTGGGCCGGAGCTCTCTGTTCAATCTTAGAATTTATTAGGCGGAAGAAAAAAGAACTAACTTCAGACAGAAGGTCTTCGTCTGAGTTGTTTTCTGCCAAAACGATAGTTCTTTTTTCTTGCACCCAATAAATTATAAGATTGAACTGAGAGCCCTGGCCCACTCCCCTTTTTGTGTCATGCTTTTGATCATGGCCGTGAGAACTGGAACCTAACTGGATGCAGCGTGGATTGTTGTTTAAATTTTAAAAAGCGCTTTTAAAAACTGCTGAAAATGGGCCACTTTTTACTCTAAATAAGGGGCTGTTGTGTATTGACAAACAACCCACAATAAGTGTTTCAAAAAATTGTTTTGGAGAGCATTTTACATGAAATTAAAATAAAATTTTACATGCAATTTGCTCTTTAATCCTATAAGTCTGCTGGCAGAGTTCTTCATAGCTCGCTGGATAGAAAACAGGTTCTAAATGATCATTCGTGCCATAAAGAGAAAATGGCAAATACCAACCGTCTTAGTACATAAAGTAAGAATAAAGCCTTAGTTGTTACTGAACTTTGAATGTTATGTTTGCATCAATAAGAAGTTGAAAGGGTTATGTTTTTTGGGTGTAACCATTCTCATTCTTCCTGAATTTCTAAGAACATTTCCTTTATTGGAAGACTAAAGCTAAAAAGCCAAAGCATCACAGGGCACGGCCATTGTTATCATCTCTTTATCTATCAAAACAAGAAAGAAAGGGGAATGTGACTCAACTCTTTCACAAATGTACAGTAAATGCATCACTGACTGTACGTTTTGAATTTAAACAATGTTCCTACAGAAAAAGCTTCAAGACAAACCTGTTTTATACACTTTCACATTTGGCTGACGAACATGAGATATTGGAGGTAAATCAACACATTGGTAGGTGGAGCTAGACATTTATATAAAGGTTTAGTTAGAGACTTGGTGGTAGAGGATCATTTTGAAGATGGCCCTCCAAAAGCTTGTGGCTGTGTTTGCTGTGATCCTTCTGATTAACAAAGGTGAGAAAATTACTCACTTCCTTTAATAGTATGTTTTTCCTAATTAATGTACATCTACTGATGCATGTAGCCATGGCGATATGGTTATTTCAAGGGATAAGTGCTTGAGTCAGAATTATTTACTTCAGCCTAAATGCACCTGGGATTTTGACCCTCTGCACTAGTTGTTAGGACCTTTATTGCTCTGTCTGGCTCTAGCTTTCAGCCTTACAACCACAGATATCCAGAATGGTGAAACTTTTTGACACAAGTAGATCATAAAGGTCATCTCATTTACAGTAAATTAAATGAAGCTATTAAAAATGATTCTACATCTTTATTTATTTGAATCAATAAGTTGTAAATGAATGTGTAGTGAACTTCAATAAACATTTTTACAAATAAACTTTTAACGACAAACTTTTAATGATCAGGGGCAGCTGTAGCTCAGGAGGAAGAGCGGGCTGCCTTATGATCGGAGGATTGAGAACTTAATCCAAAATACCGCCAAGGTCTTCTGCTGCTGTGTCCTTGGGCAAGACACTTCACCCGACTTGCCTGTGTTGATGGTGGTCAGAGAGGTCTATGGTGTGTCTCAGTGGCCTAGTGGTAGAGTGTCTGCCCTGAGACTGGGAGATCAGGGTTTGATTCCTGGTCGGGTCATACCAAAGACTTTGAAAAAATGGGACACAATGCCTCCCTGCTTGACACTCAGCATTAAGGGGTTGGATTGGGGGTTTAAACCACCATGTAGTTCCCGAGCGCGGCTGTGTCTGCAGCTCACTGCTCCCCCAGGGGATGGGTCAAATGCGGAGAACAAATTTCGCACACACACCTGTGTGTGTGACAACTAATGGGACTTTAAAATGGCAGCCTCACCTGTGTCACACAGTAGTGTGTAAATGTGAGAGTTTGAGAACAACAGAAAGCTTGTGAGGGCCTAGAAAAGCATTAAAAAAGGTTATTATTACACTTGAAATGATTATTATTATTATGACTTTTCTACAAATAACCACACTTCTATGCCAGTCATCGTAAAATGCAAAATTTTTGCAAATGATCCATTTCCACTAACACACAAGGTAATCAACACTTTTCTCAGTTTCTCCGAAGGGAGGCATTTCAACAAGAGCTCGACATCCGCAGGATGGAAAAATGGTGTAATGTTCGAGCAGTTCTTAGATTTTAGATTCAGATTTAGTAAAGCCCAATATAGTAAAAAAAACTTTAACACCACTAAACAACATGACCCAAATGATAAAATGTGCACCCCTTTTTCTTGGTTTGGACTTGAAAGTGTTAAACTGCACATTACATCTTACTTAGTGAAAACTATTTTTTCCATCCATCCAATGGGCAATCAGGCGGGGTACACCCTGGACAGAGAGCCAGTCCATCGCAGGGCAACACAGAGACACACAGGACAATCAAGCACACACACACTCACACCTAAGGACAACTTAGACAGACCAGTTAACCTAACAGTCATGTTTTTGGACTGTGGGAGGAAGCCGGACTACCCGGACAGAACCCGTGCATGCACAGGGAGAACATGCAAACTCCATGCAGAAAGATCCCAGGCCGGGAAACGAACCCAGGACCTTCTTGCTGCAAGGCAACAGCTCTAACCACTGCACCACTGTGCAGCCTAACTATTTTATCATCATTGTTTATTCTTCAACTATTGTTCTGCTATGGACTGACTCATCTTGTTTAACTTGACTTTCTGATTTTTTTTTTTTTTTTTTGTCTGCAGGATGTCATTCTAGGAATTCTGGTAAGCACCAAATTCTAAAAATAACTTCAAGTTAACTTTATCTTCAGATCAACAGTACACGCAACAATGAGATGTGTCACGCATCTTAGAAAGCCCTGAGTAACTACGGACTGGGAGGACATTTATCCTTCTTTCTGTTTTCAGTGTACAAATACCACATGACTACCTGCACATCACGGGTCAATGTGGTGCTCAGTACAATGTCAACTACAATTACTTATCATTAAATATTTTTTATAGCTGATAAACATTTACAGTGTATGAAACCAGCTGTGTTGCATTAATGTGACCCAGTTCGGCATGCATTGATTTTTCACAACGCAGACCGATGACTGGTAAACTGGCATCTGAATCTGTCCACAGCCTTTAGAAACCTCCTTATGCTGCAGAACAACTTTTACTGCAGAACACTGATAACAAAACCGTTTTTAAAAGCTTTTGATGTTTTGTGGAATTTCCAAGACTCTTAATGAAGGACTGAAGGAAGTTGACGCTGTTGCAGGAAAGGTAGCCAGGTTCAGGACCACAACAGGATTTGCTTCCTCATACTCCAGTCAAAAGAATTTGCTTCTGATGGGGTTTACTGAATTTTCCTCAGCATTTCAAATCTAATTGCTGTTAAGTTATTATTCTAAAAGGCCTGAATATGCTAAAGGAATCTTCTTGCATTGATTGTTTCCTCTTTCATGTTAGGATGTGGCAATGCAGCACTGAACACCAGAATTGTTGGAGGTCAAACTGCAGTTCCAGGAAGCTGGCCATGGCAGATTGTGTTTAAAAATGCTGATTTCTTCTTCTGTGGTGGGTCAGTGATCAACAATCAATGGTTGCTGACGGCTGCTCACTGTGCACCAAGGTGAGGGGTCACTGTGTTTCTCTTGTGCACATTGTTTGGCTATTTTTTTGCACATACGGGGCTATGAACATGAATGTACCGTAAAATATGACTAGTTACTCTAACATGAAGGAAGCGTGCAAACGATTGCAATAATAATAACAGAGAACCACTAATGTGTACAAAGTTTTTTTTTAATGGAAATAAAGTAATGTCTTCTGGAAATTAAATGCATATCTCCATCATTCAGTGGGCAAACAGGCAGGGTACACCCTGGACGGGTTGCCAGTCCACCGCAGGGCTACGAAAACAAAACAAACAAAACAAAAAAACCTGAATCTTAGAAGCTGGTTTTGCATGATTAAAAATTCTGTTTTCTTGCTCAGCAGATATTTCAAGTCTAGTTAAAATTAACAACAAGGCACAGTGACTATTGTGCTAATCTACTGTAAAAGAAATTACAGGATTTCCGCTAGCCTAGCATAGCAGGCTGTTTTAGCATTAGCCAGACTAAGCACTACTACTATCATCTTATTATAACTCCACACTAATGGTATAAGTAGAATGATGTTCTGTCATGTTAGTGTCACTTTACTCATCTAAAAGGGAGATCCATCCATCCATTTTCTTCCGCTTATCCGGAGTCGGGTCGCGGGGGCAACAGCCTTAGTGGAGAGGCCCAGATTTCCCTCTCCCCAGCCACTTGGACCAGCTCTTCCCGGGGGATGCCAAGGAGTTCCCTGGCCAGCCGAGAGACATAGTCCCTCCAGCGTGTCCTGGGTTTTCCTTTAGGCCTAGTCCCAGTTGGGCATGCCCGGAAAACCTCACCAGAGAGGCGTCCAGGAGGCATCTTATCAAGATGCCCGAGCCATCTCAACGGCACCTCTTGATGTGGAGGAGTAGCGGGTCTACTCAGAGGTCCACACGGATGACCGAGCTTCTCAACCTATTTCTAGAGACACCCTGCAAAAAAAATTGATTTCAGCCACTTGTATCCGCAATCTCGTTCTTTCAGTCACTACCCAAAGCTCATGAACATAGGTGAGGGTAGGAACGTAGATCGACCGGTAAATCGACAGCTTTGCCTTCCGGCTCTGCTCTCTTGTCACCACGACAGATCGGTGCAACACCCGCATCACTGCAGATGCAGCACCAATCTGCTTGTCGATCTCATGTTCCATCTTTCTCTCACTCGTGAACAAGACCCCGAGATACTCATCTACTTGAGGCAGGACCTCATCCCTGCCAAAGAGAAGGAATTCTACCCTTTTCCGACTCAAGACCATAGTCTTGGATTTAAAGGAGCTGATTCTCATCCTAGCTTCTCCACATTCTGCTGCGAACCACTCCAGTGAGAGCTGGGGATCACATTCTGATGGAGCCTGGTTAGGATGCGTCCTGGACGCCTCCTTGGTTAAGTTTTCCAGGCATGTCCAACTGGGAAAAGACCTAAAGGATTACCCAGGACATGCTGAAGGGACTATGTTTCTTGACTGACCTGAGGATTCCCCTGGAGGAGCTGGCCCAAGTGGCTGGAGAGAGGGAAGTCTGGGCCTCCCTGCTTAGGCTACTGCACCTGCAACCCGGCATAAGCGAATGAAATTGGATGGAACTTCTCAAGTTTTGAGAATTTAAAAAGTTTTAAATGTGTCTGTCTGCAACACAAAATGTGTTACACGGTCTCACTCCACCACCCATGTCTGACTGTATTAAAACAGGAACCACAGTGGTAGGAGGACTAGGCCCTGTGAAGTCCCATATAGAAAAACTTTGAGAGAATGTACTCCTTTTTTTGGTTTGAAAAAATGGAAGTGATTTTTTTTAGCTTTCAGACAAATGGTTTTGGCTTTCCTTATCCACAGATTTGTCATAGAGTATAATAATAATAGTGTCACATGAGTGTATGTATAAATACATTTTTGTAATTGTTTTTTTTTGAGAGCCGAAAGAAATTTTCCACTACGATGGACAATAACATTCTATTCTATTCTATTCTATTCTATTCTATTCTAATGTGTAGATAACTATTTTAACTCTAACTTTTTTATCTTTCTTCAAGCATTGACCCAGACACCACAAGTGTCCATTTGGGTATTTTCTACCTCAACTCCTTTAATCCTGGTGAAGTTATTCGATCAGTGGCTGAAGTCCATTGCAATCCTGGCTACAACAGTCAAACCTACAATAACGACATCTGCCTTGTGAAGATGTCTGCTCCTGTTAATTTCACTGAGTTCATCCAGCCGATCTGCTTAGCCGATGAAAACAGCACCTTCTATGATGAACTTAGTGTCTGGGTTACTGGTTTTGGTATAACTAGTAAGTTATTCAATATTTCTTTCTTTCAACAATACTGCTCCTTGGTTCCATATCAAGTTCTGACTCTTTTTTATTTTCAATTAGGCTTAGGAGCAGTAGCCGACACCCTACAGGAGGTATCAGTACCGATTATAGGAAACAATCGGTGTCACTGCTACAACCAAGCATATGGCACGGTCACAGATAACATGATGTGTGCTGGAGTTGAAGCTGGTGGGAAGGACTCGTGTCAGGTGAATCTCTCTGTGTGTTTGTGGTCAGTGTTTTTGACCGGCAAAGTAAACGTTGTTTAGTAAATGGTTTTTCTTCTTGATTATGTAAAATAAAGGAATTTAGCATTCAAATCTCAAAACAAATCAAAAATAGTTTCCATTGTCAACATGGTAAATTGGAGGAATTGTATGGATTCATAACAAAAACAATCAAAAACGTGAAACTCTGCTTTTAATGCTGTTCTAGATGCTAAACCAACAAATGAATGAATCCACATTACCTATAGCAAAGAAAGGAAAACACAAGTTTTAACAGCATCAAAGAAATTACCCCTGAATTAAATAAAACAAGCAGAGGTCCATTTAAACTGATTTTTAAAACTGTCAAGTGACCAAAAAGCTATTGAAAGACTTGCCTAAAAATGTACACTTTTTTCCTACAGGGAGACTCAGGAGGACCACTGGTGGCAAACATTGGGGGTACATGGGTCCAGGGTGGAGTGGTGAGCTTTGGTGCAGGCTGTGGAGTTGCCTTGCTACCTGGAGTCTACGCTCGAGTGTCCCAGTACAAGCAATGGATCACCAACACCGTTACTGGCCCCCCACCAGGATTTGTTTCTTTCACTTCACCAGGCATCAATTTTGATGATTTCTTCACCTGTCCTCCCCCTCCCCCGCCCACCCCCACCTCTTTTCCCACCACCACCGACGATAGTGTGTTTGGTAGTGGTGAAAACTTGGGTCACTTCACTCATCTAACGGCTCTGTCTGTTCTTGGTCTGTTCCTCCACTTCTTCATTAGCAGCGGAGGAATGTAAATGATGCATGTTAGTACAAGTACATGTTAGTTAAGAAAACTACATTTTTGTTATTTGAGTAGTTTGCTTTCATGGTACTGCATGTCAGAAGATAATACCCGTTACTTTAACACATTTACTTTCATGAATATTTCAGAAAATCTATTTCTTGATCCACTACAACTAGAAGTCGGAGCTGAAAATGTTTTCACTTTCTTTTAATCTATTAATTACTTGCTTGTTGTGGATCAAAACAAGCATTTAGAGGGCAATATCAAATAACTTTTATTCACAGCTAATCAAACATGATTTAGAAATGTGATTTGACCAAATATTTAGAAATGACAGCTGATTTATATAGATTTATTAATGTCATGTCCTGTAAATCAACTCTATTTACAAATCTGTAACTAAAGCAAATAATAAAAAAATCCTTTGAAATTTCAATTATTTCCATATTTTGTATTTAAATCTGTTTCAATTAAAGACTAAAATAACTGACAATGTTTTCAATCAACATAATAAAAATGTATTTACTGTGAATGAACAGAGGAGAAGAGAATTAAACAACAAATGAGGTAAGGTTGTGAAAGAAGGACATCTGGTGGTGGAAGGAATTACAAAATGACCAAAACAAAAGCATTAGCTCTAGTTTTCTAAGTTTGGCCTGGAGCAGTTGGAGTAAGGATGGTGAGTGAGGATGACATGAACAGATTCTTATGACTTCTTGAACTGCACACTTGTTGAAAGTGAACCAGGCTGGTGCCGTTGATCGCTCTAGCACAGGGTTACCCGATCCTGGTCCGGAGGTCCGCTATCCAGCATGTTCCGGTTGTTTCCCTGCTCCAATACACCCGACTTTTCTCAGCAGCTGATTAACAGCCTTCTGCAGAGCTTGATGACATGTGCAACATGTAATTCAGCCAATTCTTTCAGGTGTGCTGGAGCAGGGAAGCAATTAAAACTTGCCGCATAGTGGCTCTCGAGGACCAGAACTGTTATCCGTTCTTAAGAGTAATTAATTTATAACATTTGTAATTTCTAAAATTATTTTGTTCAGCAAACACTTTTTGCAAAATTGATGCATGGCTATCACTCAGTGTCATGTTGCATGATTCTCTAGAACAAACAAAACAGTGTCGACATGCACTGCAGTGGAAGTGTTAGGTTCAATCTAGCCTGGCCAGCCAGTCTCATACTTCCTTATGGGAAGCATTTGGTCTGGGAACTCTTTTATACAAATAGCCCCACCCCCTGAGAATTCTAACCAATCCAATCGGCGCTGAGCAGAGTGCGTCACACACTGCGACGCTCAGTTTCTCATTAACAACAAAGCAAAGTTCGCTGTGGATTTTTCCTCTGTTCTAAATGACTTGGACAAGTCTTTAAAACCACAACAAGTAGAAGCATTAAAAGACTTTCTTCTAGGTTTGTGCCATTGTTGGCTCCGTTATCCACTCTGTTGGGGTGCAGGCAGCTCTGACCAAGACAGGAAGAGACTGAACAAGCTAGTTACCAAAACTAGCTCAGTTCTGAGATGCGCACTGGATTCAGTTGAGGAGACGAGTGAAAGGAGAATGCTGGGGAAGATGACCACCATCTTAAAAAATCCCTCCCACCCACTGCATTCCACTGTAGAGACCATGGACAGCTCCTTCAGAGACAGACTGAGACATCCCAGATGTAAAACAGAAGGTAGGTCATTCAGCCCCTCTGCAGTGGGAGTGTACAACTCTTCAGTTTAACTGGTACTGGCATTATCCTGGTACACAATAACATCAATGCAATATTCAGTATGTGTTCAATACCTGTGCCGTACTGGATTTACATGATATTTCTGTGTCCCTACAGTATGCTGCAGAGTTCTAGAACCCAAGTTCTTCAATTTTTTATTTAAGGTTTTTAGTGGTTGAAAGTTACAATAACAGCTTACTGCCTATGTGTATATACTGTCATTGCCTGAGATGAGTGAGTCCCCTAACTGATGTCTCTGAGCTCTGTATGCAGAGGGGTCATTCCTGAGAGCGGGTCAGCTGGAGATCATCAACTCACCATGTGCAACGTTAAAACCTACCTCCCAGGTTACTCCACGTACGTATTTCATGAGCATTTTTTTTAACTCAGAAGTACCCCTGAAGGACTTAGTTGTTTGTCCTTTTATCAGAACTTATTTTGAGCCTGAGAGAGTTAAAAGAAAGACTGAGACACCAAACACAATGCCAGATTATTGCTCGCCTTGGGTAGCTCTCGCCATCGTAGTAACCTTAAACTCTAGTGTCTTAGAACCTTGAACTTAGTTGTAGTCCATATTTATATTTTGTGTTTTGACCTGCCATAAAAACTAGCCTCATCACCACTTCCACGCCATACTCCCACGAACCACCTCAGAGCCATGTCTCCCATCTCCTCCCTGACCGACCCGCTCTCACCTCTCACCCCTCCTGTCTTGGGTTCACTCTCTCAGCCTGCAACCCTCCCCTGAACTCCCCTGCTTCCTGTCACAGTAAGACCACGCCACTTCCTCACCTCCAATCTCCCAATTCAAAGAAATGTTCCCTAACCTGGTGTCCTGTCTTGCAGTCTCTGACTTGGATCCCAGTTCATTCACCATCTGCGGTGCACCCTGAGTTTAACCTGCTTTTGCCTAATAAATATTGTTTATTCTCTTACCTTGTCATTGCCTCCTGATTCTGCATGTCTTGGGTCAGAAAACTCTCTCAGAACATCACATATACATGCACCTTTGTTCTTGTTTTTCATTGGATTATTCTCCAAGTGTTGGTGCTGCTGTAACAAGTGATGTTCCCCACTGTTGGATCAATAAAGTGCATTCTATTCTATTCTATTTTGTTCTGTTCTATGATCTGAGTGCAGAGTAAAGTTAAAGTGTAAGTGCTCAAAGAAAACTAAGACTTGGACGCACCAGAAAACAGGGTTTTTTTTATTCTTCTGGGCCGCCCACATAACACAGTGTCACGGTGCTGCTGGGGTGAGTTAGCCTGGCAAGCCAGACTAATGGGCCATTCCCATCTGTACCGGGTCGGCCCAGGCCGGGTAGCCCCAGTCGGCCCCAGCCTGGCCCGGTTGATTCCACACATCCTAGTCTTAAGCCCATGTGGGCTGATTCTACTCACCAATCAGAGGCTTGCTCTAATGGAAGGTGTGAATTTGCTGTCAGCAGTGGGTGTGTTGGCCCTGGTCGGCCTGAAGCAGACCCCCTCGAGAAGAGGGCTGCGAATGAGCCTTGGTTGGCCCGGAAAAATACCAGGCCACCCAGATATGTACACAACCTACGCTACCCGGCCCGGGCCGACCCGGTACAGATGGGAATGGCCCATAAGCAAAGCAAGAATTTGGTCTAGTTCACTAGGCTAGGGGTGAGTGGCTGAGGTGAGGATCCAAACACAGGTGAATTAAACAGGTAGGCTGGTGAGGACGTTTTAAGAGTTTTAATGAAGAGCATGCTGACCATGAAACTATGAACAGACAAGGAAGACAGAACTGGGAGGGTTTAAGACCCTGTCCACACGTAGCCGGGGATCTGCCAAAACGTAGATATTTTTCTACGTTTTGGCCTGTCATCCACACAAAAACGGAGTTTTTTCACACGAAAACGGATCTTTTTAAAAACTCCGGCCAAAGTGAAGATCTGCGTTTTCTCCGTTTTGGGTGTCTGCGTGTGGACGGACAAAACCGGAGTTTTAAGGTCCGCAACGTCACTTTCCGCGACAAAAAATGCTGACATCACGTGTGTGACCTGTGTTTACACTAGCCGACAGCATGGGTGCCCTCAGAGCTGCGCTCGCTTTATCAATTGTCCAAGCGCTTTTTGCTTGTTTGTTTTTGCAAGTGGAATTACTGCTCCTTGCGGAAGACCACAGACGAAGGACGAGGTTAAGAACTGGGGAAGTACTGCCGCCTACAGGTCTGGCATGTCCTTAACAACGTGTTTATCCGGGTACGTGTGGACAGAGTTTGTTTTTTAAACGAGGTGGTGTGGATGCAAGTTTCTGGAGGGGCAGATATTAGTTTTTTTTTTAAACCGGCTACGTGTGGACTAGGCCTAAATCCACAAGGAGCTGAGTGATTGGGAGACGAGAGGCAGGCGGGAACAATTTGGAAAGACACAGGATTGAACAGAATGGGGAGACAGGACAGGTTGTGACACACAGACAAGGAGGCAAATATTCTCACCATGATATCTATTCTCTAAGGACTTGTGTTTGTTTCTGGTTAGTGCAGAAAAGATTTTATCTGAATAGAAAACATTATGATAAGGGTGGAGCTGAACATGGGAACAGGAGGTTTAAAGGTTCAAAGCTTGTGATATTGAATTGTTGTGAAGATGGGTCTCAAGAAGCTTGTGTCTGGGTTCGTTGTGATGATCCTTCTGATATGCAAAGGTACGACTTTTGTTTCTTTACTTTATTAGAAAGATTTATTTGAATTAGCTGATTAGAATGTGACACTAAAAGTTCAGACTAGTTAACTTTTTCACAATATTCTAATTGTCTGAGGTTGTGAATGTGGTGTTTTCATAAGCTGTTAGCCATAATCTTCACAGTCATAACAAATACAGGCTGAAACATCTGGCCTTGCATGTAATGAGTCTGTCTCATGTTTTAGTTTCACCTTTAGGGTGAATTACTGACATAAATGAAATTTTGCATCATAATCTAATTTTTTGAGTTTCATCTGTATGTCATCGCTTAAATGGCAAAAAATATGTTTCTGACTAGAGATGTCCAAAAATGTCAGTCTGCCTTTAATGTTGACCGATATTGGCAATAAATTTAATATTAGAAAATATCTGTATCAGTTTATTTTTATGACTCAACTTTTATATACCATTCACATATTATACATGATACTCTACAGCTACTTCTCTCTCAGACTGTCAAAAATGACAGTCTGAGGTAAAGTTTTTGAGATATTGTAGCTCCTTTGACACAACCTGTGAAGCAGAAATTAGCCCTGTGTAGTGAACGCACGCTGTCCTCATAGCAGGATGCTATTTTGTGCTTTAATAGTTTTAGTGATATTCATGAGTTATTTAGGACTGAGTCATTGTGAACTGTGTGGTTTAACACATTTCTCATCTATGCTTTAGGTTGCCGGTCACAGACGCTTGGTAAGCACCACAAGCCTAACTGGCTTGTCCTCTGATTTTAAATCAACCCAACATTTTTCTTTAGCTAAAGAATACTTGCAACATTTATCCAACTAGACCATGTTTCTCTGTGTTAGCTGAAAAATTATTCATCAACTGTGAACCTTTCAGCATATTTTTCTTCAACTCGTGTCACTTTTTATGTCAGAATGCGGCAACGCACCGCTCAACCCCAAAATCATCGGTGGTCAGGATGCTTCTGGAGGAAGTTGGCCCTGGCAAGTTGCTTTCAAGGATTCTGGCTCCTTCTTTTGTGGAGGGGCATTGATCACCAACCAATGGGTGCTGACAGCTGCTCACTGTGTACCAAGGTGAGGAGTTGGGAGGTGGGTAAAGCTATTGCCATCATTTTATTGCACTTCATTTCTCTCAGAGATGGCTGATGACCGCTTTTAAAGTATAGTGAGAGCTTCATGAATGCAACCTGAATCAAACCTTTTATTGTTCCAGTAGGTTGTGAAGATTTGTGACTAATGGCTTACTCTTTGTGAGAACTGATCACTAAAAATGACGAAAGGCTCACTGTAATTTTTGTATCTTAAAGCAACAAAGTCTCCTTCCCAGAAGCCTATCTGGGTCTCCACAACCTGTCTGGTTCCAACCCTAATCAGCAGATTCGAGCACTTGTTGCGACCATCTGCCATCCTGATTATGATGAAACCACCATGGATAATGATATCTGCCTTGTGAAGCTAGCAGCTCCTGTCACTTTCACCAGCTACATCCAGCCGGTCTGCCTAGCCTCAGACGAGAGCACCTTCTTTGATGGGATCACAACCTGGGTCACTGGTTTTGGACTGACAAGTACGTTTCTGAATGATCACATTCTTCGAAACCATTTCTGGAACTTGTGTTAGCATTTAAAATATGCCTTCATTTAGATTCTGGGTCACCATCCGACACTCTGCAGGAGGTAGCTGTACCAGTTGTAGGACCGAACAGGTGCTCGTGCAACTATGAAAACGTTGCTGAAATCACTGAAAACATGATGTGTGCTGGGCTTGATATCGGAGGGAAGGACTCGTGTCAGGTGATCCCTACTTTTTGTACTTCATGTATACAGTTTTATTCTCTGTGTTAAAGTTTTTCACAGCATCACATTTTAGCTTCCAAGTTCACTTTACATTACTAAATGTGTAAACTGTGAAAATATGATTGCATGTTGTACTAATTAACAAGAACACATGAAATTTGTGGAAAGTTCACCATGTGTTACTATTTCTACCATGATAAATATAGAAAATGAAACTGGTGGCAGGTCATGGTTTAAATAAACGGTAACACTTTAAAACAAGGGCATCAGTTTGTTTTCAGAATTGCTGGGGACAATAACCATACACTTGAGTGGGGTTTAAAAATTGCTGGGGACAATAAAGTAGGCTAGCACAGGGGTCGGCAACCCGCGGCTCTGGAGCCGCATGCGGCTCTTCCATCCATCTGATGCGGCTCTCTGTGCTTGTAAAATAATGAATGGATATTTAAATAAAATGCTTTATATTTTACTGCATTAATTTTACATCTGTATGCCAATTCTAAATGTAAAGATTTTCTGCGTAAACCTGAACAGGTCCAACCCGGTCTTACTGTGAGACCGGGTTGACGCGTCACGCTTGTGCGTAATCATAGGCGCTTCCTGAGCTGAAGAGGATGTGAGACAGATGAACTCAAGGATGTTGCTTGGTTTGAAAGAATTACCCCGGCGTACACTGATGCGCATGGATGAGCTGACATTTTAATCGTTAACACACATCGCGGAGGTAAAATATTCCCATCAGAACATCAGAGCTTTATACTGGACACTGTGTTCAGCGCGGCTCGGAGCGCCCACGGTGGACAGTGAGCTGAAGATCTGGGGTTCGCAGTACAGAACCACGGTGCATGCGATGATTTCCTCCCACTGAAACAGTCTGGAAACCCGGTCTCTCTGAGGGATGTGTCACTTGGAAAAATGTTCTTTTTATGAAATTATGAAACTTTGGCTGAACAGCGCTTGTTCCCGTCTCTAATATGGAGACGCATGACGCGTAGAGACATTTGATCACGCACAAAGTTTATGTGGGGCAGAAGCGGTCGGGCCACGGCAGGTGAAATGTTCCTAGCCTACATGAAGTGAAACTGTTTAATTGTAACATTAATGTGTTACTGGACACGCTGGTCTGGTTGGTTAGACCAGTGTTTGAAGTGGAAAACAAACACACACACACACACACACACACACACACACACACACACCAATTAAAATAATGCTGATAGCATGGACTAGAAGACAGGTGATGGTTTATGTATTTAAATGATGATCAGGCTGTAAAATGTAATCTCCATCCACATCCAGACAGAATTATCCTCTATTCTTTCTCTATTTGCTCTGCTTTTGTCTGGGCTGATCAGCTGATGGTGCACGCGGCGCGCCTAACTAGCGGCTGATGCACATTTTACGCATTTGGAGAGGTGGGCTGGATGCTTTGTGTTTACTGGAAGTTGGTCCACTTAACGCACGGGTGTAGACTACATATTAATGACAAATGAATGAAAATTAAATTGTGAGTTTTTACTTCATATTTTATAAATAAAAATGACGGGGGAACACATTTATGACGTCTTTTTAAACTAAATTTTCTAGCGCGACCTGCCTGCTTCACTTAAGTCACTGCTTATTAAGGTCCGTCCAAAATTACCGTGGGAAATGGGTAATAATGGCTCTTTGATGGGAACAGGTTGCCGACCCCTGGTATAAGATCTGAGCTGGTAAAACAAAAATCTTCATCAGCAGGCGTTTTTGAAAGTGGGGGGGACACAGCTGCCAATCACAAATTTTGCCGGGGACATGTCCCCGGCGTCCCCGGTTAAAATGATGCCTATGCTTTACAATAAGGTATGTAAAATTGTGCTTCGTTACTAGAGAACGACTTAAGCCGGGCGTACACTGTGCGACTTTTTCACTTTTTTGAGCCGATTTTCTACTCGTGCGAGAATCCACGAGATCGGGGCGAGTTTTGCGCCGAGCGTCGTGTAGTGTACAGGGGGTTACGACAAGCGATTAACACCACGTGACCAGCTGCCGATCAGCAATCGTGAGCTTACACAAACTTCTGGCGTGTTTGAAATTTTGCTCGTCCCTCGTGAGGGTAACGCACTGTTGAAGCGGCGCTGCGAGCAGCTGCGACCCAAACAGTATCAGAACCGCTCACGGTGCATGCGCAATCCCGCATTAACACCGCTTGCCCGCTATTTCCCTAATAACACACATTGTTCGTTTTTGTTTCTACACGTTTTTTTACTCACAAACATTGTCAAGAAAGCGTGTTTGTCGTGTTCATGTCAAATTAAACTGATCACAAAACACAGATTTACTTTCTTTATTTCATTTTCCTCATCCAACCCCCATAAATCCCTGTGTGTCCTCCTGCAGCACTCCCGAAGGACAACAGGCAAAACAAGACAAAAAAGTCTGACGTGTTGTGTAAAAACTGCTATTTTTAACATATTTTTAGGTCCAATGTCTTGCTACCAGACGTACAGTGTGAGCAGTCAGGTCGCATCCGAGAACTGGGTCGTGCAGTGTGAGCGCATGACTCGTGAGATCTGCCCTGCGAGGAAGTCGTACAGTCTGAGCTGAAGCTGAGTGCTACAAGTGAAAAAGTCGCACAGTGTCCGTCCGGCTTTAGGGGGTAATGAGTAATGAAGCAGGGAAGAATATGTAGTTTTAGAGTGTTTTTACATGTTGATTTCAAAGTTTATTCATGTAAAAGTTATTTTTTGTGTACTTTTCTGATTATTTAAAAAAGTACCCTAAACATTGAACATTTTGTTAGTGATTGATTTGAGCCAGGTAACACTGTAACCTGCAGGATTTTGGTCACCCATCTCTGGAATATTACCACACACAAGATGAAAGAAAATGATGTGTGAATAAGCTCAATGTATTTATGGTAAATGGCCATGTAACAACATATAAGTAATGGTTAAGTACCTAGTAGGTACATATTAGTTACTGAGTAGGTACTTGGGAGGAGGCTTCACTTTCCATCTTCTCGAGACGGAAGGAAGCTGACGATGGATGACGAAGTGACAGACGAGTGAAATCAATGTGGCAGTGAGTGTCCTGTCACAATGTCCCGATTGATCATGCGCCCTGGCTACTTGGCCAAGGGGATGTCCCTTTGGCTGACTGGTTAGAGCGTATGACTCTCACCCGGGAGTCTGGGGATCGAATCCCGCCCGGGCCCTCGTTTCTCCACCTTGCCACATCAAGATGAAACAGTGATGTTAAATCACTGTGATGTTGCAAATTATCTGCATTCTTCATGAAGTTTACAAAAGAGTCTACAGGCACTACATTCATTTGGGATTTGTTCCTTAATGCGTTCATAGATAGCTACCTATTAGTCCCTGAAAAAGACTGCTGGGTGTTTACCAGTAACTACTGGTTAACTACCTATTCTTCTATGCTTCATTACTCATTACCCCCCAAATCGTTCCCTAGTAACGAAGCACAATTTTGCGTACCTTATTGTAAAGTGTTAACAAATAAACTTCCTCAGAATCCGAAGGTTTTATTGCCAGATGTCATACGGGGTGACGGTGGCACAGGAGTTAACGTTCTTGCCCCGTAATTGGAAGGTTGCAGATTCGAGCCCTGCTCAGTTTGTTGCTGTCATTGTGTCCTTGGGCAAGACACTTTACCCCCCTTGCCTGCTGGTGGTGGTCGGACGGACCAGTGACGTCAGTGCTCAGCAGCCTCGCCTCTGGCAGTGCACTCCAGGGCAGCTGTGGCTACATCGTAGCTCATCACCATCCATGTGTGAATGTGTGAATGACTGATTGTGTTGCAAAGCGCCTTGGGGGGTTCCAGGACTCTAGAAGGCACTATATCAAATGCAGGCCATATTTGCAAGAAATCACAACACTAGGAAATTGCTGCAGTACTTAGAAGATAAAAATAAGAGATAAGCAAATATAGGAAGTAATAAAATACTCAAGTTAAAGTTAAAGTCCCATTAGTTGTCACACACACTGATGTGTGTGCGACATTTGTTCTCCGCATTTGACCCATCCCCTGGGGGAGCGGTGAGCTGCAGACACAGCCGCGCTCGGGAACCATTTGGTGGTTTAACCCCCCAATCCAACCCTTAATGCTGAGTGTCAAGCAGGGAGGCGTTGGGTCCCATTTTTTCAAAGTCTTTGGTATGACCCGACCAGGAATCGAACCCTGATCTCCCAGTCTCAGGGCAGACACTCTACCACTAGGCCACTGAGCTATATCATATATATATCATGATATATGACATTACTATATCATGATAAAATAATTAATATAAAGTTGCAATAATTAGAGAAGCGACTACTATATACACAGTGTAGGTACTAATCAGAGCGGATCAGATCAGGTACAAAAACAACACTAGGTCATGTGAACCAAGCGACTGGCGTGGGCAGCCCTAGGACTGTCCTACAGATGACACTAAATAGGTCCTAGAATTTAAAACAACATTTACTGTGTTGTTGATAAATACAGGCAGGTTAGGGTGTCTAATGCAGCACACCAAAGACTTAATGTTGCATCTGACTAGTTTTCTATGTAAATTTGTCATCTTGAAAAAGAGAGAGAAACGTTTTTTCCAGAAAAGCTTCTGTTAACACAAGAGAGTCAAATTCACACTGAGCCAAAATGAACAACTGGGATGAAGTCATGGGCCAAGCTCTATGTTTATTGAAAAAGTGATCACAAATGTTCACATTACCATATATGTATTTTTTTTATCTTTTCATTTGAAAAGATACATAATTTAGCATAAACACTGGATCTGAAACAACCTGATTACACACAAGCAAGTACATTTGAAATGAGACACACACCAGTTATATTTGTTACTGATTACATCGCAATTTTATATTTTCATTCCTTAAAATGTGTTTATATTCAGCATCTTTTAATTTTTCATCTTTGAGTATTTATTTAGAACCTTTACTTGTTTCTTTCTTTTTTTTTTTTTTTACTTTATATTCAATTTTTACACTCCTTTTTTGCTCCTGTAATAAATGTAATTGCTGCTGTGACACTAAAAAAATTTCCAACTGAGGGACAATAATGAAATGTTTTATTCTATTTCTTTCCTATTCTTTTATCTGTAGCCTTTCCTGCTTTAAAGTAGGTTAAATCTTCTTTCACAGGCCATCAACAACAACATAACAATAATAATAATAATTTTATATATATTTTTTCTCTATCAAATGAAAATGTTATATTTTATCTATTAACATTCATGCTTTCATGCATTAAGACCACAATAATCCAAGCTCAGTTTGGATCAGTAAACTCTGGTTTACTCTGATACTTTTCTAGCCAGATACTCGCGTCTCTGGGGTTAGGCTCTGAGCTGAGGAAGGTGTTCATCAGTGAGACTCTTGCATAGTTTTTTTCATCTTCATCAAATAGAACAGTTGCTCACACAGGTATGTGTGCTGCTGAAAGGAAAAATGCTGGAGAGCATTTGAGAGAACAGAAGTGTAGTGCAGTGAAGTGAAGTGTAGTGCATCAGCCACAGAGTCACTTGAGCGTGTCACTACACTGGACTTCAATCAGCTCCATCTGGAGGTTGGATGGTGCGCTTTCCATGCCAACCACAAACAGGTTACTGAGCAGCTGGAAGCTGTATTTGTAAAGTAGCACTGAGTAAGAGGAGTGTTTTCAGTTTGTCCCAGGCTGATGAGGGTATGATTGTAGACTTACTGTGTTCCTTTTATGGTTGTTTGGATATTAATAAACTTTTTTTTATTTTTCCTCCTGTGTACAAAGCCAAGAGTGGAGGTAGCCTACATTTATAGCAAAACTAAATCTATCTGGCAGGTCATTAGATATTTTCCCAGTTTTAATTAATATAGCGCAAGAATCTTATAACCAATCTAAACTTTTGTTCTCCTTTCTTACAGGGAGACTCAGGAGGGCCACTTGTGTCACTATATGAAGGTCTATGGATCCAGGCTGGAATTGTGAGTTTTGGTGACGACTGTGCTCTCCCAATGAGACCTGGAGTCTACACTCGACTGTCCCAATACCAGAAATGGATCAGTGACACTGTTACTGGCAAGAAACCAGGATTTGTTACTTTCACTTCCACAGGCTTTGACAACGACTGGTTCTTCAGCTGTGACACTAGTGTATTTTCCAGTGGCGAAAACTTGAGTCACTTCACTCACTTAACCATTCTCTCTATTTTTTCTCTGATTCTCCACTTCTTTGTTAGCAATGGGAAAATGTAAGTGTTGCACAGTAATTCAAATTATGTGCACATTTGAAATGAAAAGCCCTTCTGTGTCTTGAGCAGTTGGTTTTAACGTATTTCACCCACAAGAAAATACTTCTCTAGTTACCACAAAAACCTTAGGTGTTGTGAATGTGGTTGGTTCAAAAGCCACGATTGGTTGTAGGATGATTCATATTGATTGGTTAATGTCTGATGTGCATTAAATACATTTTAATCATTGTTTGAGATGGTTTTTAGACATTAGTTGTTGAAAACAAATAAAGATTTACAAAAGACTGCTTTTGTTGTTTTAAATTATATTACTGTTTACTGACAGAATTCAAATCATTCGCAGAATTTTTTTCAGGTGTGACGTTATGAAGATAAGACGACTTGTCTACACAAACTCTTAGGTATGACCACCAGGTAGAATAATGTACTCCACTAAAAATTCAGTATCTTTCACTCTGTATACATCACTATTTAAATGATCTTGCACTTTGTAAGAAGACAAGACAGCTTTGTTTCTATGGCACATTTGCGACACAAACACAATGTGCTTTACAGCAGTAAGAACAGACAAGACAAACAAAAAACTGAACAATGGAACGACATCTACTAAAACTAGATGACTAGCATACTATCAATACAACACTGAGAAGAGAACTAAATATGGTGAGCCAGGAATTACTAAGTAGGTGAACAAAATAATCAAGCTGAAGGCAGGGGCGGCGTTAGGCCCGGCTACTTGGGCTGAAGCCCCGGATGTTTCATAGAAAGCCCCGGATCTAAATCGCGGAAGTAACATGCAGTACCAAAGTCCAACAGAGAGGGAGCAGCTGGCAGTAGTTTGTATACAGCCTGCCTGAGCCTCCACCACTGAAGAAGAAGCCCTTCAGCAGCTGGCTTCTTCTACACTCTCTGCCTGAAACGCATGTGTGAAGATGGACATAAGGACGTTTTTTAGACAAAAAGTACAACGACAGAACCCCAGCTTTGATGAGACTGGTGTTGGTGACTCAGGTTTGTGAGTCTTATTTGAAAATATTTGTTGTGCTGCTGGTTTGCCTAAAGTTAGCTTACTATCAGGTAAAGTTGTTGGAGAAAGAAAGGGAATATTTACTATCATCTCACACTAAACACTAACAGGAACAATACTCTGCCCTGAATATGCTTAATATGTAGCTTCAGATTAAAAATTATGTGGTACAAGACAAATATGATGTTGACTAGTGCGTGTCACGTGTGTGTGCGTGTGTTAAGCCCCGGATGTTCTTCAGTCCTTAATCCGCCCCTGGCTGAAGGTGTCAGGAGACTAAAACAAGGCAGTGAAACTGGTACAATGAACTACAGAAAACATTGATGATCTAAGAGTAAAAAACTAACAGAAATTCCAAACTCTGAGTAGCTAAAAAGGCTAACCAGGAATTACTAAGTGTGAGATGACCTACAGTGATACCAACTTGGAATTTAAACAAACTAGTACTACATACTAATTAGTTATGCAGACTCATGTCATCTGTGTCCAATCTCTTTAAAGGATAAATGGCACCAGACACCAAGGATTTAGCAACAACAGGTTTGTTATGCCCATAATGTCTAGAGTTGCATGTGTACCATTATGACTAAATGACCTTTCATGTAACAGTGTTGGTAATTTGATTACCCTTGATTGTGATAGGAGATGGGGATTGTAATTTAGGTGCTTCCCACAATTGAGAATTTTCCAGTAAAGCAAATTCTTCCTCATGAAATATATGATTCAGGTGACTGCTGAGTGTATTTTCTTGGCCATTGTTACTGGTTTCACTGTGTGTGTGTGCGTGCGCTCAAGCACTGGCTCCCTGGACGTTCACACCAGATCAAGGCTCATGTATAGATTGTTGTCTAGGCCAGTGGTTCCCAAGGGGTTGGGTGGTTCCCACAGTTTCATTATAGTCTATAAAACTTTGATAAACTGATAAATGTGTGGTTATGTTATCTGATTTACTTTCATCAGTAATAGAAGGGGTTGCAAGTCTCTGCTTGGAAACCTTTGATTTAGATACAGTACAAAAATCCTTGATATGTATATAGCTTTCTCTTATGTAAGACATTTAGACGCCTATATTATATATCACTATCATTGTTCTGACAGAATCAGACTTCCAGGAAGTTTTTCTGTTATTTATTTTTTTATCTAGCTGACCAGATCTCTCTTAAGGACTTGAGAAGTGGAAAACAGTTTCACCTATTTTCCAGTGTTACAGAATATATCTAATTTAGCGTGCTGCTTTTACAATTCCCAGCCAACACAGATATCCCAGCATGATAGCTACATAGAAAAGCCTGGGGTTCATTTCAGGTCAGAGCGGTGGATACCTGGATGGGCAAGGCATTGGGGTGGAGTTGAACTTAAAATCAAGGGCTTAAAAATAGGAGACCTAGTGATGCTAGATTATTTTGAAGATGGCTCTCCAAACATTTGCATCAGGGTATGCTGTGATGATCATTCTGATGTGCAAAGGTAAGACTTATTTTTGCTAAATTTGTTAAGATATTTTCAATCCAATATACATTGATGCTAATGTAACACAACAGAGTGTAACACTCATTCCACGAAAATGCGAACATGCACGTTAGGCCGTACCAGTTGTAAAGAAATAATCAGTCATCTATGGACATATTGCGATGTATACACCTTCATCTTCTAGGTTGACCTATTGTCAATTTTCAGTATTTAAAAAAAAATCATATCTTAGTTTTTGACTGTGTTTTTGTTATTCCTAATCAGATGTAATAAACCCAGTTTTAAACATTTGTATATTTAAATGGCTTTTATAAATCTCTGATTGATATTTCATACACTCCACTTTGAGCATAATCTATATACATCTAATAATTTTGTTCATGTTGACATGCAGAATTTTGTCATATTTTAAGATTTTGAAAAACAAAACAAACAGAAATTTTAACACGACGCTGGCATTATCATTGTTGGTCTTCTTGACTCTGGCCCTGCTTCAGACAAAGGTGCTTATATCAGGAGCCAAGTGGCTACATAAATATCTGATGCCCACCACCTAGGAATCTTTCAATCTGTGATCAAAATCTAATTGTGACATCCCTAATAAAAATGTTTAAATCCAATTTCAAATCCCTCTCACATAAGATTGTGAATTTTGCTTAAACAAAACTATATTGAATCATTGATTTAAATGAGTGCTCTGTTGTGCAATGACGCAAGCTAAAAAAGTTTGAGGAAGATTTGAATTTTAGGGACTGATCTCAACAAATACTAAGAAACTAGATACAGAAAAATTTTCACTGGGTAGATCAGAGCTTTTTAATCGTTTTCAGTTGCCACTGTCTACGGATTTACTTTGTTTCCATGTAGCAACAACACATGGTTTGCATCAATAGGTGATTAACGGGCTTTTGAAAAACTTGAGTTCATGCTGTTGAATCTGATATGTTTGAGCATCGGAACAGTTAAAACATGTGGCGAGTTGCCCTCCACGACCAGGAGCCATGGGTTTGAGTATTGTGATGTATGGCAGGGTGGAGATTAAGCCGGCCGTATGGAGGTGTTTGATGAGCAAAAAAACAATGACCTGTCACTTTCCACAAAGATTAAATTATTTTGAATACAAAAAAAGCAAAATGCTTTAGTGAATGTTACTGAAGAACACACTAGTCCAAGTTCTTCCTGGCACTTGCAGAGTACAGACACTTCTCTTTTTGCTCCCTTATTTTTTTTTCCCAAGGCTCTTTGTCCTGTCTGCCCACAGAGCGCTTCTCTGCATTTCTTCTGAAAAACCCTATTTTTAACCATGGATTTGATAAATTGGTCATTCAATGCGATTGATAAGATTTTTTCAACAATGAGAACATCACACCAACAATGGAAGCTCATATGCCTCTCCCAGCTGTCCATTGAGGATATCAAAGACGTGTGGATATTTGGCCTGATGATCACTGGATTTCTCCTGATTGGTGTGGGAGGATATCTGGTTTTCTGGAAATTTGGGAAGACGGGAGCGACTGGAGGGCGACACGCACCCACGGAAAGCACCGTCTGTGTGGAGACCTCACAGACTGGGACGTTACTCGAGGTGAATCGTAAGCTGGACAATGTTGTAGCTGCTATACCAGTATTAGTGCGCAAAATGGATGTCATCTCGGAGAGGGTCACCGGACGGTATGGACAAGTTTAAAAAGCCAAATTGGCTTCACTTAAGGACTGGAATGATCAGTTTAAAGACTAAAGGCAGAGAGGAAAATGATCTCAGCCTTTCCCAAACAAAGTCTTGTTATCCGAATCTGATGCCATAACAGTCTTGAGAGGCTAGCAACAAACCCCCACGAAGGAATGCAAGACAGATGCTGTGAAAACCCGACCCCCCCAACCTTCGGATTGGTGGACTTCAGCCTGGCGAGGTCATCAGCCTGCAGGAGTCAATGTGCTCTGCGCTTCTCCTGAGATCTCCCTCCCACCTGTGACTACAGTGGCTGAGCGTCATAGAGGGCTGCTCTCACTGGGGGAAACAGGATCCCAGCCAATTCTTGTCATGTGTCTTGCCCATGTATGTCTGATCTCTGAATTGTGTGTACTGAAACTCTAATTTCCCTCTGGGATTAATGGGATCTTTGATTTTATTTAATTTGTACACACACGAGAATTTCGATGAAGAAGAAGAAGAGAAAAAGGTTAACCTACTGATAATAAGACAAGTTTTGCCACCATGTGGTGATACACTGTATTACAGCATAAACAGCGGTAACTGTTACAGTTTTAGAATAGATGTGAAATTCTAAAACTAAAATCCTCACATTGCAAAATAATGCTTTTTAACAAAAGAAAGATCATTAAATATCGGCAATGAAAAACAGCTTTCAATGTTACTGTAATAACACTTGCTAATTAATGAAATACATACTTTTCCCATGAGCTAATGTGATTGATTTAACATCTTTCTCTTTCACATTTCAGGTTGTCTTTCACAGCAACCTGGTAAGCATCAAAAATTTATTTTACACTTTTTTTTAATTGAATGTTGTCTTTTCAGATTTAAAGAGCACGGAACCATTTGATTGGCTGACTTTATCATTCAGCCTGGAAAGAGTTGAATGCGCATAAACTGGGAGAACATTGGTTAGGGTTTGGGTTTTTGGTTAGTAAAATGAACCTCTACTAAAGTACCTAATGTACATTAAAATGTGTTGCCACTACTGTGATATAGATTTGAACATAAAAGGAGCTTTGAAAAAAATAATGCTAACAGAGTCAGCTAGCCATTCTTTGTAGTTCATGATAACTTCACTGAAAGTTCAAATTAAATAAAATTTCCAAAAGGTTCACTTATTATTTACATCAATATTAATCCGTCATATTTTTTCTATTGGACCCATATTTTGGCTGTGTTTTGGGTACCAAGTTTAACCACAATTATCTGTCCATGCAAACTGAAATTGCAATCAGTTATAAGTACCTTTTGCATCTATTCTGTTTAAAATGTTTGATCTTTTCTTTCCTGTCAGGATGTGGAAAAGCAGCACTCAACACTCGTATCATTGGGGGTCAAGATGCATCCCCAGGAAGTTGGCCTTGGCAGGTAGCTTTAAAGTGGTCTGGTTTTGCTTACTGTGGAGGGTCACTGATCACCAACCAATGGGTGCTGACAGCTGCTCACTGCATAACAAGGTGAGAGTTCACAGCGTTAAGTTAGAATTTGGTTCTGGAATTGATAATGAAAATAACTTTTTAACTATGGAATAGCAATCCATGTTGGCATGGCTTCCTTCACTTGAGCATCTTTTACAAATCCATTTTTTTAGTTTTTTTTTTTACCAGAGTTTTGTCATGTGTTTATGATTGTTTATTAATAAGTGCAACTTAAAACTGTGAAATACTCTTTTTTTGTTCTTCAAGCTATTGCCTCAACTTCACAAGTGCCCATTTGGGTCTGAACAACCTGTCAAGTTCCAACCCCAAGGAAGAAATTCGAACACTTGAACATTTCATCTGTCATCCTGAATACAACAAGAACACCCTCGAAAATGACCTCTGCCTTCTGAAACTGTCATCTCCTGTCAATTTTACTAGCTACATCCAGCCGGTCTGTTTGGCCTCAGTAAATAGCACGTTCCATGACGGGGTAACAACCTGGGTCACTGGTTTTGGTAAGACTGGTAAGTTACTGATCATTTGTTATCTTTAACAATATTTCTTCTGGATTTGAAGCTAAAATATTTTTCTTGAACTAGATTCAGGATTTTTGGCCAACATTCTGCAAGAGGTAGATGTACCAATAGTGGGACACAAGAAGTGCTCGTGCTACAACCTAAACTTCTACAAAATCACTGACAACATGATATGTGCAGGACTTAAAGCTGGAGGGAAGGACTCTTGTCAGGTAATTATCATATGTCTGTGTATCTGGCTTCTGCAACCTTCTCTTTAACCTCATCAGGTATAATCGGGTACCAAAGAAAGACCAATTGTCCTTATGGGGTCCAATGTTGCTCTATGGTTATGGAGCATAATTTTTTCTAACACAAATATTCACTGAGTTAGGAAATAAACATAAACGTTTTGGTTCACGTATTTTTTATTTTACAAAGGAGAATCCATTACCACTGATGCTAACAATAATCTACTTTGGGGAAGAACACTATGCTCTGCCGAGAGGTGACAGTGTAAAAGTAGAGCAAAATCGTAGAGGGAAGTGTGGGGAGATAGGGAAAGGGCAGTGCAGGGTATGTATCACATCCAGACATTAGTTTTAAACTAATAAAATTTGCGTTTCAACATGATTAACTCAGTGCTCATAAAAATGTGTTTTTGGAGCATAAATGCTTTGAAAAAATAACCATATGTGGAAACTATAGAAAGACGTAGAATTGTTGAAGGTTCATTTCTGTTCAAACCTAATAGCAGCTGTTTTTTTACATGAACCATGCACTACTGGTGTGTTTTACTCTCGTTATATTATTTTTACTTTTGCTGACTTTATAAAACTACATCCTCTTGACCCCTCTCTCCAAAGCAGCTTCAGACTCATCTCTACATTTCCGTTCATCTCCAAACTCTTGAAACAGGTTGTGGCTAAACAATCCACAGCTGCTCTTGATGAACATTACATCTATGATAGCTTCCAGTCAGGTTTTCATAGAGCTCATTCTACTGAAACAGCTCTTCTTAGTGTCTCTAATGACCTTATGACTCACCGTGATGCAGGGGACTGTTCTGTCCTAGTCCTGCTGGACCTGACTGCAGCCTTTGACACTGTTGACCATCACCTGCTACTGGAGAGGCTGAGAGACTGGGTAGGCCTATCAGGATCTGCTCTGGAGTGGTTTTCCTCATATCTATCTGAGCGTTCTTTCTCTGTGACTGTCTACAAGTTTAGGTCCTCCACCAACTTTCTTATCCATGGTGTCCCACAAGGTTCTGTGTTGGGGCATGTACCATTCCTCCCTTACCTGCTCCCTCTCCAGTATATCCTGAGCTCTTTAAAGGAATCTCTCACCATCTTTGTGCAAATTACATTCAACTGTACATCTTCTTTAATCCTTATAGATTCCTTTAATTTTTGCAGTGTTTCTGCTCCTCGTGAGCTAATAATGCACAAGGAGCATATAAGGGTTAAGCCCAATGAGATGTCTAAGTTGCAGCTGTTACACTCCAGCTTAGACTAATAAAACCTGGATGGCTGCAAACTTTCTACAGCTGAATGATGATAAGACTGAGATCCTCATCTGTGCCCCAGCCAAGTTTCAGGTTAGCGACAAATGGTAAATGGCCTGTATTTGATATAGCGCCTTCTAGAGTCCTGGAACCCCTCAAGGCACTTTACAACACAATCAGTCATTCGCCCATTCACACACACATTCACACACTGGTGGGGATGAGCTACAATGTAGCCACAGCTGCCCTGGGGCGTACTGACAGAGGCGAGGCTGCTCAGCACTGGCGCAACCGGTCCCTCCGACCACCACCAGCAGGCAACGTGGGTTAAGTGTCTTGCCCAAGGACACAACAACAGCGACAGACTGAGCGGGGCTCGAACCTGCAACCTTCTGATTACGGGGCGAGCACTTAACTCCTGTGCCACCGTCGCCCATAGACAAGGTTTAGAATGCTTTTCCTCAGCTCCTGACCCACATCACCCCGCTTCTCCTCCAGCTTCACTGGCTGCCAGTCAACTTCAGATTCGGTTCTGGTCTATAGGGCCTTACATGGACAAGCACCATCATACATTGGTGATCTTCTCAGTCCCTATACCCCCAGCAGGTCCCTGAGGTCCAGTGATCAAAGCCTTCTGGTTGTGCAGCGCACCAGGCTAAAGACCAAAGGTGACAGATCATTTGCTGCTGCGGCCCCCAGACTCTGGAACCCTCTCCCTCTGAGTCTGAGATCAGTGGACTCAGTGGTCTCCTTTAAAATGCAGCTGAACACTCACCTGTTCAGGCTGGCTTTGGTGTGACCTTCTGTTGATTCTGTTTCTTGTTGAACCTCTGCTTTAAGAAGCATGACTTTCCTTTTCTTTAGGGTCCTAATTTTGTATTATTTAGAAGACTACAAAGTATAAGTATGCTTAAAAAAGCACAAGGCGATAAAATCATCTTAATTATATTGTTATTGTGTTTTTTTCTATTCGATAGTTTTACTGATTGTATGAATCCTAAGTTAGAATTGATAATAAAAAATAATTTCCAACTTCATTCTGCTCAACTCGCCCTTTACTCAACACAAGTCATGAAAAATTTGACTGAGCAACTGGAACAAGACATCAAACACCAACCCCATGCTCCAAGATGAAAGGCACTAGGATGCAAATTTAGTTTTAAGCTGCAGCTAGTGAAACATAGAAATGCTCCCATATAGCTACAGTTTTCTAAGAAGACAAGAAATACAAACATGCATGCATTTGAGTATGCACCAAGGAGTAAAGTCTAATAAAAACTAGGACATTCAGTAGAGGATTCTGCTTATCCAAAGTTATCTGACACTAAAGGCATTACCAAGAAAACATTTTGATACTCCATTCCATTCATTTTGAATTAGAAGGTGTGTCTGAAACTTTTGTCTGAACCTGTATAGGCTTTCCAACTTGTCCCACGGAGAATGGGAACACCTCATGTAAATAAAAGATGTGTAATAGAGACTAAGCTGTTGTTAAACACTCCCGTTAGTTCTCCTCTTTTAAGGCAACACAGATGGTTATCCCTCTGAGCTTTTAAATAGATTTTATAAATCTCAGATGATAGAAAAGCTAAATATTTGTAGCAAAACCAACCTGGGAAGTGACCTAACCTTGATCAAGTTTTAAGTAACACCAGCTTTATCTACCCAGTTCTACATTTGTGGGTATGTAGTCTAATTACTGGGATGGTACTTTCAGAAGTACTACTCTTGCACCTTCAGAGTTGGGTATGTTTTTGTACTCTTATGGTCTGGTTATCTAGAGGTTAGTCCTGTGCTTCTACTATCAACCCTGGATCTAGATTAACAGTACAAAAAGTGACAATTGCATACTGCTTTGGGTATGGTCCTTATTTTTAGTTCAAAATGTTTTATTTCTATATAAATTTTGTTTCCATATTAATTCTACTGAATGTTCCTGACACCCATTTTTTGTGCTGTTTTCTTGAGCTTTTGTTGATTGAAGTGACACCTGGGCCATTATTTATTATAATTTTTTTTGGGGGGGGGGGGGGGGCGCATAATGTATTGAGGTTACCATGACATATATTTGAACCGTAGTTGTATTTTTGACTATATAGAATGGAACTACTTTTTGAAAGTATAAGGCTGTGTGTGTGAACACAGTGAATTTTAACTGAAGAAAATGCATGGGTAGCTGATGAACCGTTAGAAGAAATAAAATGATTTTTTTTCCCCCAGAAAAACATGTATTCTCTTTGTTCTTACAGGGAGACTCAGGAGGGCCGTTGGTAATAAAAAGTGGATTTTCATGGATCCAGGCTGGAATTGTGAGTTTCGGTAAAGGCTGTGCTCTCCCAATGCAACCAGGGGTCTACACTCGAGTGTCCAAGTATCAGACGTGGATCAAAGATACTGTCACTGGCATGAAACCAGGATTTGTTACCTTCACTTCCCCCGGTGTTAACAGTGACCTACAATTTATATGTCCCACCATTAGCCCTAGCACTGCCCGTACCACCAACTCAACCACTAAGCCAGCCATTAACCCTATTATTCCCCCTACCATTAAAAATGTGCCTGTCTCATTGATCAATACTGACAAAAGTGTTTTTGCTAGTGGTAAAACTTTGAATGACTTCACTCCCTTAGTGTGTCTCTTTGCTTTAGCTCTGTTTCTCCATGGCTTTGTTGGCAGTGGAGGAATATAACAGCCATACAGGGCATGGTAATCCTTGTAAGAGAACAGTTCCATTCATTTGGACTTTTTAGGGTTGCAAGTAAAGTCAGAGTTTCAACCTTTTGAAACTGTGTGTATGAAAAAGCTGTGACCAATTCAAGACGTGCCTGTTGAAGTGAGAACACTCAGAATGAGTCTCTATTTCTGCTAATTTAAACTGTTCAAAAGGCTACCATTAAAATTCATTATTCACAACCAGGGTTCAAATTCCGAGGGAACCAAGGGGAGTTCATCACCCTTTTGGGGGCGCTGGGTTCCACCAAAAGGGTGAGGGCCTCCCCTGAAAGCCGTCAACTTACACATCAAGGGGGAGCCCTAAAATGCACCCACCCTCTTGGGTCACCATGGGTATTGGACCAAAAGGAACCTCACCCACCACTGCTCTAACAGAGATTAGATGGGAAGCTGCCCCAGAAGCCTGTGTAATTTGAACCTATTCATAACTGTTCAGCAGAATTCCCTTTCAGAAGATCTGGACCACTCCTTTCATTGTAGTTTACCTCAGAACAACATAATACTCACTATACAGATGAAAACAAGTCAAATATACTATTTATTAATATACAACATGCATTATAAACAGGGTCGGTTTGAATTCAGATAAAATTGTATCCTTTGTTTTACCAGTTATTTTTACAATGTTACAGTTATGAATGTTGGTTTGAGGATTCATCAAGAATTCATTAGAATATCCAAACAAACCAAATCCTGAGGGTTTGGGATGTTTGCTGCATCTTCAGGAAAGTTGTTTGATTGTAGATGAGATGAGATGCATTGATTTACGCTGATTTGTTAAAGTCTGATGTCTTTTAAATAAAATATTTTTATATATTTTGTTCAGCTAAAACTTTGTTTTCATGCCTTTGTTTATTAAACACAGAAATAAAAAAATCGTTTTTAATTGATTTTATTTTCATGCTTGTTTATTTACCACTCACGTGAAGCACACAAGGTCTTAAGACAAAATGTTGACCTAGTCAATCCAAATCAGTTAGTTTAAAATTTAGTAGACATATAAAAAGGAATAAGACCTTGAGTATGGAACAATAAATGGTTGAACATATCCATGAAACTAGAAAATATAACTGATTTCTTCCATCTAATTTACTATAAATTGAAAGTGAAAGTTGTGTCAATTTATGAGCTTTTTTTTCTAACAACATGCTGAATAAAAATACAAAGATCTTGTTTCAGTCTACCTGCTCTTCATCTGCAAGGCAATTTATTTTAAGAGTTACAACTTGTTTCCACTTAACATACATTTGTATTTTGAAATTACTGCAGCAGAAAGAAGTACCAACACCCTAAACCTCTCCTGCAGTGATGGTAGTCCAGGCCACGACAATGTAGGCCTTGCCAGCATGGGTGAAAGCCTAGTTGTCCGTGGCGCCAGTACTGGTAGCAGAGACGGCAGAGGTGGAGATCCAGCTGTCAGAGATGGTGGCCCAACTAGCAATGGTAGAGGCCCGGGCCACAGTGGTGGAGATCCAGGCAACAGTGGTGAAGGCCCCAGAGAAGATGAGAGATCATCCTGCAAGGGTGGAACCCCAGCTAACCATGACATCAGCTTAGGTGGCAGTTGTCGAGGTCCAGGCAGTAATGATGGATTCCCAGCTAATTGTGGTATTTGCTCAGCAAGCAGAGGTAGAGGCCCATCTAGCATTGGGAGTGGTCCAGCTAGCTGTTATCTGTTGAAGAGATGAAGTGAAACACCTGAAGCACAGAGAACTGGTATCAAACCAGCACTAGAGCTGCCACAGTGGGATGTTTCAATCCTCCCAAAAGCCTTTTTCCAGTCAAACACCATCATGGCTAGCCTTTACTGCTGCCAGAAGTTTTCTCCAAAGGATTGTTTTGGTTGTAAGAACCTCGCTGTGATCTCTACTGCTTTTATCAGCCACCATTTCTTAATTACACCGTGAACAAAGGAAACAGCTGACTTCACCTTACAACCCTCTACTGTGTTGTGGATATCGGTTATTTTAATTATCTGAGTTTGTGCAGCTGCTCTCAGAAGGCCGTGCCTGCTGATGGGACTTTAAGGAGAATTGAAAAAGCTTTGAGCTCTTGGTCTGTTTTTATGATAACTGTGACGAACCTGCAGCCCTAGCAAGCCCATTAAGGCCCAAGAGCTCAAATCCCTTGGGGGTTCCAGGCATTTACAAGGCCCTGCATTGTCCTTTGTCTTTCTAAGATATAAAGTAGTATTTTCTACTTAGACCAGTCTGTCTTCATGTTTTTAATGGCGTCCTAGATTTCAAACCTGCATTTACATTGAGTTGAATAAAGGCATGTTATCAAGTCTGCCATCCTAGACCTTCTTCCCTATGCTTAATGAATAATGTTTTAATGGCCACAGACAAATGTTTTGTTCTGAAAAAAGATGGAATAACATGGAATAGACCCATGTCCCAAACCACCTCAACCTCGGCTGTATATAAATGCTGGTGTATGTAAGGAAAGAAAAGGATCTTTAACATAGCGCCTCTCACAATAAAAAATCACGAGGCGCTAAAAAAGGTGAGGTAAATCCTCGGTGCATCTTGGGCGATCGCAGATGAACAGAAGGACAAGAGTCTGGTGATCATAGGAGATGGTAGCCGGGACACTACCGAAGAGGACCGCAGATGCAAGGCGGAAAGAAGGTCAGTAGACAAGTCTGAAAAAGTGGCAGGTAACTGTGGCTAAACCAAGCACAGGCGCCATCTTGTTACCGACCCAGAAGAAAAGAATGCTAAGCCACCCTTGCCCACCACCACACACACACACATACACACACGCACACACACACACAGTCAGAGAACTACTCCACATATGGATTTGACCATTCACCAGGGCTCCTGAGTCATTTTGAGCCCCAACACATATTCATATATTCCATAGAGGCTCAAAGAACAGTTTCCAATCATAAAGGTTGATCAAGTACCCCTTTAAGATCATTTTAACTTAACATGTATTTTATTTAGGATGCTAATGCATAAGCATGGAAGCAGTTGTATCTTGTTTGTACCTTTTTATTGTTGCAGCTGTAGCTCTGGTGCAAAAGGAAAAACACAACTCAGACATTAAAATATGCTTTTCAAAATAGCTTCCTGTCATTTTAGAGATAAGTGTTGCACAATGTTGTGTGTCATACAAAATTTGCCAACTATTGTGAGAATATTACTCAGACTACAATGGGAATGTAGAGCAACAGGTGAGGAAACCCCGCCCCCTTTGGAACTTTATGGCTCAGGTAAACCTCACAGTGCTTTGGCTCCAGTCAAAATCTCTTCTCAGTTTAATCTGTATATCATGAAAGTTTGGTTTCTAACAGGAATGTACTCATTTGTTAGACTGAACGGCTGCAGTGACACTCAGCTTTTCATAAGACAGAACTGTCTGCTCTTTACACAAATGACCCCCCAGCGTTTCAGTGCTTTTCTGAGGCTCATTAAGCAGAAATAAGAACCTTTAATTGCTTCTGTCTTTCTCTTTTCAGAGCTTTGTGGAATGAATGTGTTTCTACTAATGAAATTGTGTGTTTGTTCCCTCAGATGCAATATTTTCTTGCATCATCTCTTCATTGTCACCTACTTTTGTCACATGAATGAACAAAAACAGATGGAGAAGCTGAATATTGAAAACATCTGTATCACCTGCAGAGATAAATCCATCCACTGCTGTTTGGCAAAAACGACTAAATAAATTATGTTTCTGCAGCAAAACACCATAACAAGCTGCTAAATCAGAGGTGTTTTGTTTCTGTAAATATCACATAGCTTTCTCTGCTGCTCCATATTCATGAAGCTTGTTTCGATTATCAAACACCTGCCTCACAAGCTCATGAACACGGTCACTGGGAGCAAAAACAGCCAAATCCTGAAAGCGTCATTGTTTTGACACATCTATTTTCTTGCCTCACGCTTGGTCTTTGCAAGCTCAATCCCTCTTCCCTGGACAGGAGAAGCTTACCCTTTCTGTGGGGGAATGCTAATGTTGTTGGTACAGAGCCAAGTCAATTAGTACACAGTGAAAGCAGATTACTCAAAACACTAGTACAGGAAACGTGTTGAAAAATCAAAAATAGACAATGAGAGTGTCTAGTTCTTGGTTTTTAGACTTGTATTACAGTACAAGTGCAGAAAATAGAGGCAGACTAAAGGGAAAAAGAGGGATTTTACATTGAAATATGATTTTATAAGAACATTAATATTTGAACACAAAGCTGCAGAACAAGAACTATGAGAATCAAAACATGTAAAAAATTCTTATTCTTTTAAAAAATTCTATATTTTAGTGTGGGTAGCGTCAAGTTTTTTTTCCATTTACTTGTACTGCAATCAGCCACAAAGAGGCACTTGTTTAGGCTCCATCTTTCATGTTGTGTGGCTCTAATTACATATGGTGGGGCACTCGAGAATGTCTCCAGAACCAGGACTGCCTTCTAAAACTGATTCTGCAGCTCCATCAAGAATGGTACCTGGCAGGTGAGAACACAACTATTCACGCAGTGAGAAGACTTTTGGAGGATGGTCCGATGTCATGAAGGGCAGCAAAGAAGCCACTTCTCTCCATGAAAAAGAACAAGGACAGACTGGTATTACAAAACACAACCAGGGACTGGACTGTTGAGAGTTGGATTCTTGGTCGTTTTTCCAGAGGCCCTTGAACAATTGTATGCCTAGAAAAGAAAAGGTGAGCACTACCATCAGTCCTGTGTCGCATCTTGAGACAGTCCGTGTGTGGAGCTGCTTCTCAGCCAGTTCAGCCTCCGAAAACATTGAATGAGAAAGAATAGGACCTAAACATCATCCATGTGGAACTCCTCCCAATCAACCTAAAAAACATTAAACTCACTGACTATACATTAATGAGCTACCATCAGTTACTATGTCACGGTTAACTACTGATGGTTTTGTCGAGCCCTGACCTTGCAAAAGGCCCTTTTCAATAACTTATTTCATCAAATATAACTGCAGATATCCCTTAAGTTGCAGTCAAGACCAAACCTAAGTAAGTGTCATCTTTGACAAAGAACATCATCATGGTCAGCCAAAATCGCTTGTATTGATAGCGTCACCAATTTGAGATTCCTAAAGAAAGAGTCTCACAGGTCCTTATGGATAACAAGCAACTTTAGATCTGATTAATAAATCACCAGAGGACAACAGCAAGATGTTTCAAATGAGGAAGAAGCTCATACAAAGAATGCAATTACTTTAAGATATGGACTTTTCTCCAGCTGATCTAAACAGAACTTTTAAACAGCATCATCAGCTCAGAAGTGAGAACTCATATCAGCAAAGCTGCCAGCTCTTTCTAAACGTGCAGCACTAACAGAGTGAAGGTCCATTTCCCAGCCTGGAGCTGATCAATACCTCTTCTTCAGTTTAGGAGCACCGGTTTAGATGCTTATCTAACTGACCAAATGGGCACTATCTGCTCCTGCACACTTTAATCAAAGAGACTTATTGGGATTGGATATCTGAGCGAGTCAAAGCACAGGATGCTCTAACACACACACACACACACACACACACACACACACACAGCAGCCAATCAATCACTTTAAATGATCGAGTGAATAACAGGAGGGTAGTAGGAGCAGACGCTCCAGTGAAGCGTTCGGGTGTTTTTGTGTTATGATGACCAAAACTGAACTGGCAGAGATCAATATTCTCTATGTTTTAATGTGACATGTGACGGTGACGAACCTCTGGGAGAAAATTAACGGTTAGGGAACTCATTTGTGAGATAAATGGTCGCTGAAATCTCTTGTGAGTAAAGATGAAAATGGTGCATGAGACACATGGGTTTTATTAAGCAATTCTTGGACTATGGAGAAATTCAGGTTTAAGACTTTTAAATATTTTTTTTATTTTTATCAGTGGTCCGATCAGATTTTTTGTGACAATTTAGTCCAACACAAGATGTGGAACCAAAGCATTTATATGAAAATGAAAAGAGATGCTGGGGCCTTTTCCCTTCAAACAGGTATATACTGAAACCCACTTAAATGAATTTTTATTTTATTGCTACTACACACTAGAAATACTTTAAGATTCAGTTCACTCATTTAACCAATACATTTGCAGTTGTCTCTAGTAGGAGTGAATGCCTTGTAAGTTGTACACTAGGGGAAAAAAGCTCAGGGGCACTTGTTTCAGGAACTAGATATGAGCCACATCAAAGGAAATCTTAACAGACATCTCGCCTCTGATTGGCTAACAGCAACGCAACTGTTTTTCTCTGCGACGTTGATGTTTGATCTCCGAAAATAACACAAGCCTGGAGGAGTTTTGCTGAGTGGTGGAGTTGCTAATGCTAACAGTTAGCTTCTACTAGACTTGATGTTCTCTGCTGTTTCCTGGACACTAAACCAACAACAGCCTTCCCCATCGTGAGTAAAGATGGGTGAGTCCATGAATGTTAAGGGACAGTGTGACGTAGGATCTGTCAGGATTTTCACATCCTAGTTTCATCGTCTATTTTCTATCAGAAGCTAATGCAGGAGATAGGTGTAGGGGACCATTTTCATGTTCAGCCTGCATGAAAAACTCTGAGTGACTGATTATCATCAGAAATATTTATAAAATGTTTTTAGTGAACCACATTTTCTAAGGGAATGTTTTCTGACAACAGTTTTGTGTTGTACTTGAGCTCCGCAGGGTAGAAGAAAAGATCATTTCTCTAGCGCCTCTCAAGATAAAAAGCATGAGGCGCTTCACAAAAGCAAAAAATGTAAAATATTAAAGAATTTAGAAAATGATTAAAAATATATTCTAAATGAGCAAAAAATAGACTTGTGATTAAAAATTGTAAAGAGAGAGAGAGAGAGAGAGAGTGAATAGGAAAGAGGGAAATCAGTGGATCCCGAGGAAGGTGGAATAGGTGGGGAGAGCAGAACAAGGAGAGGGTGATGAAAGTCACGCGGTGCTCTCACACTTTCTCTTCACCTTCTACACCTCGGACTTCACCTACAACACCAGCAGCTGTCACCTCCAGAAGTTCTCTGATGACTTGGCCAATGTCGGCTGTGTCTGACGGGAATGACCTGGAGTACAGGTCAGTCATCGTGGACTGGTGTAACCACCTTGCTTGAACACCAGTGAAACAAAGAAAATGGTGATTGACTTCCAGAGAAACACTCCTCCTCACTCACCGGTAAACATCCAGGGATCAGACATTAAGGTGGTGGATACCTTTAAGTACCTGGTGTTCACCTCAGCAGTAAACTGAACTGGTCCAACAACAGTACACAGATGCTCTGTATAAGAAGGGCCAAAGCCGCCTCCACCTCCTGAGGAGGCTGAGGTCCTTCGGAGTTAATTCCCATCTGATTAAATCCTTTTGTCACTCTTCTGTGGTCTGTTGGGGTGCAGGCAGCTCTGACCGGGACAGGAAGAGACCGAACAAGCTAGTTCACAAAGCTAGCTCGGTTCTGGGTTGCCCACTGGATTCAGTTGAGGAGTGAAACGAGGATGCTGGGAAAGATGACCTCCATTTTAGAAAACCCTTATGTTCCACTGTGGAGGCCATGGAAAGAGCCAAGACTGGATTTTGATGTTAAGGGCACCTGAGCACAAATTGCCCAAAGGACTACAATGATATTTTCCTGTCTCTGGTCTTCCTGCATCTCCTCAATCCTCTAGAATAGATCACCTGACCACAGATAATAGCAAAGTGCTGCAGCTAAGGCAGAGAGGTGAAATCACCAGAGTACAGGTTACGAGCTCCGCTAAGGCAAAGCACATCAGACATTAATAGAACTAGAAAATATGTGCAGAAACAAACAATTGCACTTTTGTTTTGTTTTTTTGCTGCCACCACTTTGAGAATGTAACTGTGGCTGTCAAAAATGTTAATACCATTTCTATTTTTGTCTCATTTTCAGTTTTTCTCCCAGTGGTGCACCCAACGGAGCTGCAATGCATTTTCAAAGAATGCTTGATGTGCAATGAAACGGAATGCTTTACTATAGTAATTCCTAATTACTACCCTTAATACAATTGTTTTTGTACTCTATACTGCTGTAAGCAAAGCTCCTTAAATGTGTATCTTTATTTAATGGTTCAATGTGATATTCCAAAGGCTTTGTGGTCTAACATTAGAGCAGGCATTCATTAGGTTAACGTACTTCATGGGGGAAAAATATTACCCAGATTCTGTCTCCTCAAACCACCGGTACGGCTCACTAGATGTTGCACTACTGACCTCTAGTGGTAAAGGAGTCACATTCTGACATTTGCAGTAAAAGTTCAGACTCGCACTGAAATGAACTGCCATGACACCAAGCATTAAAACTGGGGTCTTTATTTTAAGCTGACACATGACAGCCATTTTTTTTCAAAGTAGCACAATGCCATCTTTGGTACAAATGGCATTATCATGATAAACCCTGTAGAAACATGGATACACGTGCAAATATTTAACAGCAAGAAAAGCTATAAAACTCTTGGGCCGGTACATCATTCATTAGTAAAATCAAGCTTTTAGAAATCTGAAGTCAATTTTAGGTTTTGTATCTTATACATACACACAGCTGAAGCTTACACATTACTAATGAATCGAGATCTCATAATAACTTGTAAAAAAAAAAAAAAAAAAGAAGAAATAACACAATGAAATGATTTTAAAAAGTCTTGAACATGTTAACAAATGCCCAACTTAAAACACGTTTTATTTCCAATACTCTGTGGAAGACGAACTGAGCTACACATATAAATATTAAACATATTAACAAAGTATTTACATTCCTCTACTTGTTGACCTCCTCACTGAGATGATAAAGCTTTCTCCAAGATGTCAACGTTAACCAGAGGCAGAGACGCAACTTCGAAGAATACCCTGAAAAATTAGACAAAATCATATGAGCCCACCCGTTTTGATTTTACTGAGTGTTTATTGTGCAGACTTACTTATGGGAGTACTTGTTCCTGACAGCTCTCAGTTTATCGTCGGGCGGAGCTAAAAGCAGCGAGTGGAGCCGTCTGACGACGGGTGCCAAGTCTGACGTCTGATAGCCAGAGTGGAACTGCAGGATGGGACACTGTGGGGTACAAGTATGGGGTTGGTTTCAACAGCTGGTCGAATAAAAAGATGTGCAAGTAAATTCAAACCGGCTCCAATTGTTCCTTTTTATACATCAAGATTATCAAATGTAAAATTAGCGTTAGTGGAAAGATTATGTAGCAAGAATAGCAGTTGGTGTTAATTGTTGCTAAACTATATTAATTTAATGATTCAAAAATAAAGCAAAGCTGTGCACAACTTTTGAAAATGTTAAGGCCTTAGCACCCTCCACATCGGCCTTCCATTATGTTAATGCTAAGTGTGACAGGGTGAGCATCCCGGTTGATCATGTGTCCTGGTTACGGGAATATCGATAATATCACTGCTGTTGTGGCGCATAACCAAATATTTTATAGATGTCTCAACACTGACCAGTGTAAAAAAGGTGACCACATTGCCTCTGCTTCACTCCCAAAGTCCCTTCTTCATTTCCAAACCTAATCAAAGTTTTTTTCTAGACACAAACTATTGATTATGGGAGTAAGATGGCGCTTGCGCTGGTGCACGCAGCGAGCTGCTCGTCCTCTTCACGCAATGGACCCTTGTGTTTTATTGGTTTTTATGCATTTTTATTGTTTCTGATGCTTTTTTTGAATGGTGTGGCTTCTCTGGTCCAGTTTCTTTCACCTGAGACGCCTTGAAAAAAATCAAGCCCATGCTGTCGAGAGCCCACCTGGAGCGGGTACTGCACGCTTTTGTAATTTCTAGGCTTGACTACTGCAGCTCTCTCTATGCAGGGTTGTGTCAGTCATCACTGCGTCGCCTACAGGTAGTGCAGAACAGCGCAGCCAGGTTCCTGACTGGGACCAGGAAATGGGACCACATCAGTCCAGTTCTGGCCTCCCTGCACTGGCTTCCGGTTTGCTATCATTCACACTTTAAAATCCTCGTCTTTGTTTTTAATTTCTTCCAGGGTGGTGCTCCCCCCTATCTAGCCACACTCCTGAACAGACATTCCCCATCACGCGCTCTGTGCTCCTCTGACCAAGGCCTGCTCGCTGTCCCTCGGTCTAGGTGTCGTACCCGTGGGGACCGGGCTTTCTCAGTCCTAGCACCGTTACTCTAGAATGAGCTGCCACCCTCAGTTAGGCTGTCCCCATCTCTGCCAGTCTTTAAGAGTCGCCTAAAAACCCACCTCCTCCGCTTGGCATTCCCTGAACCTGTTTGAGGTCGGCCCTCCTTTTCTGTTTTTATTTCCCTGTTTTCATTGGTCTCTTTATCTCTTGTTTTACTCATTTGTTTCTACCGTAATGTTTTACCTTTTTTGCATTATCTGAATTGCTTTTATTATCTATTTATTCATCATGTTTAAGATTTCTTATGTACTGTGTTCAGCACCTTGGGCTTCCCGACAGGGTCGCGGAAGGCGCTTTATAAATAAAGCTTTGACTGATTGATTAGGTTGTTAGAGAGCAGTTTATAATAAAGGTCAAAACAGTTTAAGCTGGCTCTCTTATGAAGAAAACAGTTCTTGGAAACAACTTTAAAAGTTTTGTAAACAATAACCATCCAGATAATTATGCGTATTTAAACATTAACACATGATTTTAGAGAAACCGAGAGAGACATTGTGACACGTTGGCTTGTTTGAGTTACCATCGTGTGCCATCAGAAGAATTCTAACCATTTTTTAAAAGAAGTTGAATTTAAGTCAACCAAAGAGTTCGCGCTGATGAAGCATAAACCAAGATTTAGAAATCAGCCAGAACCTTCTCCTATGTGGGAGGAGTCTCTCTCTCTCCCTCCCTCCCTCCCACATTCACCTACGGTGCCATTATCATGGGCTCTAGCAGCAGTGTGTGTGGGAACATAAAACAGGGAAAATAACCTGAGCATCCAGCTCTGTCAGCTGTGGAGTTGGGCTCGGCTCTGGACGGTACACCCCACCCCCCTCCCCGGGCTGGCTGTTGCCGCCACCATAACACAGGGAAAGAGGGGTTTGGGGGGGGGGGGGGTACCGTGCTGTTTGAAATCACTATTTTGGTCCAAAAACGATAGACCGTTCATCCCCACCTGGGAGTGTCTGGTCTAAGTCTTCTGATTAAATCCAGTCAGTGAAGACTACAAAATCATCTTACTTTTAGCTTTACAACATATCGTATAGTCTCCTCTGTACTGGGACATGCACCTCATCACCAGATTGTTGCCAATACACACCTCTACAACCTAGCCAAGGACTTTTAACAGAACTTGTTACTTAACTCGACGTTCCTGGAATAAAGAATCTTTCATCTGACATTAAAGTAAGACTCAACTTGTTCTCTAGTTTCTATCTTCATGCAGAATGCCAACATTCACTATGGCGTCCTATGTCTTCAGTAGCAGCTCCCTGTACACCCCCCACCCCATGTCTGTGACCGCTGTACGGCTCAGTTAGAGTCATGTGACAGTCACTTGCCCATCCACCCAGGTCTTTGGTGACCAGCGCCATCAGCAGGCAGGCCGAGGCCAGCAGCGATCCTCTGACCGACACCATGTCCATCTCCATCAGGCTGATCTCGCAGTAGAACCGAGCCAGAGTCAGCGTGTCCATGCCGGCACTCGCACACTGCAGAGTCAGAGGAGACGAACATCTGCTGTAAAAGCCCACAATGTTCTCAGCAGGTTCCAGTCACGTCACGCCTGGGAGTTAAACACACCTTGGCATAGCGTCTGAGGAACCGGTAGGGGATGGGAATGTTGATGTCGAACGACAGCGTCTTCAGAATGTTGGCCTCCATGGCGATGAGCTCCTCCCTCGTGTACGCGTCATCACAGATATAAAGGAAGTCCTCGGCAAAAGGAGGGGAGATCTCCTAACAGAATTTAGCAGAGGAACGTGTTATTAGACAGAGCGAGTGCCGAGCTCCTCTAGCCAGAACACCTTCAACTGTTTTAGGACTCCAACGTTTGTGCTTTTCACCTCAAACTTGCAGGCGATGAGCATGGTGGTGGAGCCGACGAGCTGCAGCATCTCCTTGTGGACGGGCGTCTTAGACAGGAAGTGGTCCGTCATCTTAACGGCCAAGTAGAGGGTCTCATGATACAGCTCAAAGTTCTCCTGTAGGACCACAAAAACAAGTAATCACCATTCAATTTCTACTTATTTGCAGAGTTTTATTTAAATGGAACCGAAACTTATTAGGGCTGAAAAGATTCCTCGAGTACCTCGAATAATTCGAGTACAAAAAATCCTCGAGTCAAATTCTCTGCCTCGAGGATTCGTTTAATTCATGTTTAATTAATTCATGGCTTTGCAATCGCCCGGGGTCATGTTTCACCCGGACCGAAATAAGTGACGCACATGCCCACTGCACTGAATGCACACGCGAGTAGCGAACGTAACTTAACTTTCTCTTAAGCCATGGCGGACAACGTGGACCTCGGTGGAGTGCGAAAAAGACAGAAAATGTCAAAGGTGTGGGACCATTTTTCACGTCGTAAGGCGGAAAACGTAGTCCAGTATAAATACTGTAAAAATGGATTTAGCCTACCACAACACCACATCCTCCAAGCTGCAGCACATATAAATGTCACTTCTGCAAGCAGACTCGGAGCCTCTACAAGTTAATGCATTTTAGCCTGTATTTCCATATATTCTGCGGACACTGTGCCACTTTTTCATTTGTAGTACTCGGTAGTACTCGGTTTCAGCTCACACCATACATCTGGTAGCAACACGTCGGACATAAAATGTGCTAAAAAATAGCAGTTTTTACACAATATGTCGGACTTTTTATTGTGTTGTTATTGATATTTGTTGTCCCTACGGATTGCTGCAGGAGGACACGGGTATTTATGAGAGTGGTGGAGGAAAACGAAAGAAAGTAAATAAATGTTTTGTGATCAGTATAATTTGACAAAACCACGGCAAACATGCTTTCGACAATCCTTGTTATTGTGTGAGAAAAAAAAGTGTAGAAATTAAAACGGATGTGTGTTAATAGGGAAACAGCTGGCGAGATGTTTGCGCATGCGCCGTGAGCGGTTCTGGTTCTGTTTGGGCCGCAGCCGCTCGCAGCGCTACTTCAACAGTTATCCTCTGGCTTGCAGGTTAGCAGATTCACGAGGGGAAAATCGGCTCAGGTTGTATACTTATTTTTTGCACAGGCATTTGTTTACTGTGAAGTAAAGTTGAAGTGCTGAAGTTTTGAAAACTAATTTTGAATAAAACTTGAAGAATAACTGGCAATTGCTTGCTCATTTTAAGAGGTCTTTCATAATTATAACATGCTATTTGATATAATGGTTTAAAAACACAAAAGGGTAATTTATTAGAGTACTCGATTAATCGAAAAAAAGATTCGATAGAGTACTCGATTACAAAAATATTCGATAGCTGCAGCCCTAAAACTTATTACTATTCGATTTGAAAATGTGCTTTGGTGTTGCACAGCTTAGGAGCACGAAGCAGAAGACACCGTAGGAGGATAAAACAAACACCTCATCACCAGAGCCTTTTCTGGGGGTAATGTTTTAGTCCAGGGTGTCCCCCAGCACTTTATAAGCCTGGCGGGCCACCAGGCTTTGCTTGCCCACCTGCCAGGCTAAGCAACATGCCCCGCCCCCCACCCCGAGCCTACTGTGTCCGCTGACACGAACGGCGCAGCTGATACTGGTGAAAAACAGCAGCAGAACGTGTGCAACCCCCCCTCCACACACACACAGAGAAGCGCTGCAGGACCCCCCCCCCCCCCCCCCCCAGTGCATCGTGAAGCACATTTATATTTCCACTTACTCCTGCTTGAGTATCGGCAAGGAGAAGGACAGTACGATATTACAGGTTGAACTGAAATAATTAGAATATGGTACAAAAGTCCATTTAGTCCAGTAATCCAGCTTAGACTGAGAGACCATCTAAAGGCTCAGAAACCCTTTGCAGGTCTTCTGGATGCATTAGCTGATTAGAGTGTGACACTTTGAGCCTGGACCAACCTGCACTTCGACCAGCCAGTCAACCAGGATCGCCCTCATCTCTGGGTTCAGACTGGGCTGCCTGGGCATGTAGTTGGTCAGGATGAACTTCTCCTGAGCCGGAGCGGAGATAAGAACAGAAGGGTGACCTTTACATCCTGCATTATTCTCCAAAGTGGCCTTTTCATTAGCCACAAACAGCTTCCATAAAACCACTCACCTCCCTCTGTTTTAGGTAATCAAAGATGTCCTTTGCGTACTCTGGACAAATGTAGATGTCCTCAGAGTTCTCAGAGTCGATGTCAAACTCCTTTGGGATCTAACCCCGTGGAACAAAATGTGATTAGGTGAAAGAAATGCGGGTGACATCCCACCACTCCTGCACAGGCGTGTTCTCTCACATGCTGCTTCTTAAGGTGCACTGGCGTGTCCGGAACAGCAGGGGGCACCTTGTCCACCAGCTCTTCCACTGGAGCTGGAACCTCCCATTGCTTCTCTTCCTCTACATCAGTCTTCTCCTTCTCAGAGGTCGTTCCCTCTGAGCTCACAGAGGACGACCTGCAGGAGGAGAGCAGTCGGGAGTTTAAAAACTTAACAAAGACAACGGAGTATAGAATTAACAATGGTTTACTTTAGCGAGTTTGCTCGATTCTTTGCAGGAACGGACTTGGAGGTGGTCTTCTTCACCACCTTCTTTCCTGCTTCTTTCTTTCTCCCAGGAAAGCTTATCTGAACCTTATGAGCCTGGAGTTGAAGCAAGGGGGTCAAGATTATTCCAGATCACAGAAGGACAATAAAGTAGCTTATGTACAGCCTGATATCAAATACTAAAGTACGGAAAACAGCCTTGGGCGGTTTTTAGGAATTTTAGTGATTGTGAATTATTGTAATCTTAAACCAACTTCTAAAACATCAAAGTTCATAGAAAAAGTTTTGGATAAACTTGTGTACTATTAGTTACACCAGCATGTGACCGGCTGACAGTAGTGTAAAGTGCTTTGGGAGTCCATTTACATAGAATTCAATGGTTATATGCCTTAAAAAACAGTGGTGAAGCACTTTCAAGTAGAGCCCTGCAATGGGCACAAATCTTGTGGAAGCAGGTAGTTTTTAGGTTGCATTGGGAGGCAGCAGGTGAAAATAAATAAAAAATTAATTAATTAAAAAAACACATACATATATATATATATATATAAAATTTATATACATACACACACACACACACACATATATATATATATATATAATTATATATAGTCCCAAAATTGCTTATTGCTTAAACAAGGAGTGCAAATGGGGTAGCTAATGAAATTATGAATATGAAACTAAAGAAAATAGAATAATTAAATAAATCGATAACTTGTAATTGTTACCAACAACAAAGGTCTGTCATTGTCAGTCAGAGTGAGTGATCGGTGTATATAAACTTTACTTTTGTTGGCCCATGCGTGGGGGAGGAAGGAGCGAGCGGTAAAGGCCATAAATTCAGTAAAAGCAGAAATTTAATAGTCCACTGCAGGGCTCCACTTTCTACTTTAGATGTCCTCTTTCCCCTAGAATAACCATGCAATGCAAAACTGATGGAAACTAAACTTGGCAAGTGGGGGTAGCTAATGAAGTTATGCATGGAGAATGTGAAACTAGCTAACTAGCAGTTAGCTCATCAATCCACAACAGGAAACCAAGAAAGTTTTGGGGTAAAAAAGTTTTAAAATGTCCTTTTCCAGCGTTATTTATTTACTTAGGCCTGCATGATTCTAAGGTTAGATGGTGGCACAGAGCTGAAAAGGCGGCCTTAGTCCAAAGAAATGTTTTCTCATGAGCTGCTTGAAGGGAATGAGGTTCTGATCGTAGCTTTCTTCAAGAAAACACTAGAAAAGGTCCATCTGCCAGCTAGAAAATCCCTTCTTGCTTTAGCAAATATAAAATAGTGTAAAAAACGTGAAATCTTGATACTTATGTGGCAGTAGAGGCTGTTCAGTCACAACAAGACGCTCTTTAATCCTCACATTGGTTATGTCTATGAAAGCTGTCCTCTTCTTGGGGGCCCCGTGAGGAGGAGAGGAGGACCTCTTCACCTGAGCACCGTCTTCCTGCAACACCAGCCACAAATACAGGTAAACCGGTACAAAGCACGTGCAAAATAAATAAATAAAATTTAAAAAATAAATAAAAATAAAAAAACGGCACGCAACAATCAATTGCTGCTTCTTCTGCTTTATTTACATCATGAAAAGGTAGTTTTAGGAGTTAAAACAGCCGAAATGAGGGCAACTCTACCTGGTTTTCGGTCGCTGTTGCCTTCACGTTGGCCAGCTTGCTCCCAACGGGGACAGCACATTTCTTTCTCCTTGTTAAAGGCATGGCTCCTTCTCCTTAGCAGCGGAAACAACTCTCCACACTCTGTTCCTTGTTACAATAGACAAAAACAGAAACAAATGGCGCGAGAACTAAAAGTTAAAAGGCGTAATCAAAAGTTGATACAACATAAAAACATGTAAACGAACGGAGATCGGATGGAGTTTCCTCAAACAAATGCGCTTTGTGGACATCAAAAATAACTACATGCATTATCTTACCTTATTGCGCTCCTGTCTGGTGTAGTTTAGGGTTCATAAACGAAGAAAGCGCGTTATTTTTGCAGTAATATCACTGTTTCACTGGAGTTCCTCCGTTGTTGGAAGCGGAAACAAAAGTGATTTAAACCGAGGGTCTAAATCTCCTGCGCCTCGTTCTCATTGGTCGTAATTTGAGTGAGGAGACCAATCAGGGAGTCGCTAAGGATGCCATCTCTGAAGAGCGACGGTTTTAGGAAACGTTATCGTCCGGTTTGCTAATGTGGGGCGGGGTGAAATAAGCTTTATAAACAACGAGTAGAATCTGACGGACAAAATCCATTTTATTTTTCGTTTGGGCATGCTTTTAATAATATAAGCACAAAGTCTTATTTATCTAAGCAAATTTATTGCTAAATTAAACAACTGAACGTTGGCCCCGCCCACCTGAATGCTGACAACTTTCCAGCAAACAATGACGGGAAGAGGCAATTGAAGTTTCAAATTTTCTGACAACCAATAGAAATGTAAGCGTGGAAGGGCTTAGTTGTCTGTTTGGGATCTGCCTTTACAAAAGCACTCGAAGTTAGATTTCCCACTCGGAAAGTGAGAATGTTTTTCACTCTAGCTTCCAGCTCCAACATGGCAGCTCCTTACAACAACAACAACAACAACAACAGTGAAATATGGTGGAAACAGGTTTATTTTAAAAGACACACAGCGCATCAGAAATCAATGCTACACCTTGTATTTTACATAAATATATGTGTGTTGATCTGATGTTGTATCCAACTACATCACTTATGCAAATATCTGATAGCAAACTGATGAGAACATTAACAGAATAAATGCCAGATTGATACATGGCATGCTGTAAATAGTAAAATATTCATAAACCTAATAGGAAAACAAACATTTTTACTGGATTCCCAATTTACATTAATTGGATTGACTCAATATCCCATTGTAGCAAGGAAAGAATCACCAGGAACTCCCTCCATGTAATGGGATTTAAAACATAGAGGGACTCATGTTTCTATCATTTTACAGTCTACAGTCCGAGCTATGGTATTAGAGGAGATAAAAATGTGATCTCTACATTACAACTCACTTTTTTCATTTTTCTACCACATCTGTGCTACTTGTTGATTCTGTCAAGTCTTCCAGCTTGTACACAGCACCAACAAACAACTCAGTGCTTTTAGATGATTCATCACTTTTTGAGTAGCACCAACTTGGCTTTTTGCCAATGGGTTGAATACAAAATTATGGGGAGAGAAATTCAGTGCTGCATCAGCAGCTCATGCATCAATGTGTGCTTGGCTGGTCCAGCTCACTGAACTCCATCGCGCAGTCGCTTTACTGAAATTACCCTTAGAATTGATTTAAATTTCAAAGTTGAGCACTGACACAAAGATAAGTGTTTCCTGAGGTTGAGAGGTAAAACAATGGCAGGTCTGCTGGGACTTAATCCAGAGTTAGTGCTGCATAAGTATGTGTAAGTAGCTCAAGATGGTAAATAAGGAATCATGAATACTCAGTTTTCAAACAAGAATTACATCCATAACTCTAAGAATTGAGGCCATAACACTTTTCAAAGTACTGAGTTTTAACTGAACTAGATAACCTTTCTAGAGACTGACCTATGTGGGGTTTTCTAATGTTGATATGTAGAGCCCCTGCCAGTTTTTTTTGGCCATCTTTAACGACTGATGTAGGTACCAGATGTGCTCAGAGTGCTAGGGACCTGTACCTGCTGATTACGCCACATAATGTCAGTGCCTCTCAGATAAACTACATGTCAACCTTTTTTTTTTGACCAGCTATGCACATAGTCATATAATTATCACCTGTTATGGAAATTTTAGATTTCATTGCTTTGATCCTGTTAACAAATGTCCTGAAGCATTCTCACACTCAGACACACCCACACACTGTTCTTCCTACACACACACACACACACACACACACACACACACACACACACACACACACACACACACACACACACACACACACACACACACACACACACACACACACACTTGTCTCACTCATACACACACTGACTCTCTCTCACACAGTGACCTCACTCCCATTCTTATCTTTCTGTTTCAATAAAGTCTGTGACCAGATGTTCGGGGCATTTTGCCTCATGCATATGCCACAGTTATAACTGGTTGACTTGTTGTCTCATTGTCTCCTTTTCTCTTCGACTACAGGAAACGGGTTATTGACAAACATATTGATAACATCCCTAACATCACCCCTGGCTGTTTGTGTCTTTCCTACAACGTTCTTGGTCTTGTGTTGTGTGCCGGCCATTTGCTACTTAAAGTAGTGCCCCGTTTAATAATAATCCTCCAAAACCTCTTTTTCTCATGTGAATAAATGAATTCAATTATTTAAATAATTTTAGTTATTTCTTTATTTTTGGCAGGCAGTCTATGAATATTTATTTGACCAAATATCGATAACAAAGACGTTTCTTCATAAAAGTCGTTCATGTTTCCTACAACAAAGAACTACAACCCACAAAAATGAAAACTCCGAGCAGGTCTGCTCACCTGAGAACACATTTACGTGCTAACATAACTCCCGTAATTTGTTCAGACCAACAAAAATGTTCTACATGCAGTGGCGGATTTAGCAATTTGGGGGCCCAAGGCAAACACAGACGTGGGACCCCCTCACACTAAATTTTCGACAATCTTATCTTTAACTGGATTTGCAAAACTCTCTCCTCTTCTGACATGAGTTATTTTCACTTTTTATTAGTCCTCTTTTTTTCCCTGTCTTTCTCTCCCTTTGAGTGCCTTCAATATTTGCTCTGCTTTCTTCTTCTTGTCAGTGCTCCTGTGCTTTTGCCTTTCTTTTTTTTCTTCTATTTTCCATTTTGGTCTGTTTTTCTTCCTTTAAACATTTACCATTGTCTGTCCTTTCTGCTTCCTTTTGATGTTTACATAGAAAGATAACGCCACAACTTACCAGTGTACTTCAGACCCAGCAACACACTCAGACAGAAACTGGTTCACCCAAAAGACAAAACACCTAAACACAAACTGAACAATGTGGTGTATGCTGTACAGTGCAGTGAGGAATGCCCAGACCTCTACATCGGAGAAACCAAACAGCCACTTCACAAGCGCATGGCACAACATAGAAGAGCCACCTCTACGGGACAGGACTCAGCAGTTCATTTGCATCTAAAGGACAAAGGTCACTCTTTCGATGATGCCAACGTTCACATTTTGGACAGAGAGGACAGATGGTTTGAAAGAGGAGTAAAGGAAGCCATTTATGTCCACTGTGAGCAACCATCTTTGAACAGAGGCGGTGATTTACGACACCAACTGTCTGCCTTCTATAATCCAGTTTTGAGATCTCTTCCCAAATGCCTCAACGCCCACGCATATCGTGGGCCATCTGACCTCAGGAATTCACATGATAGGGTGGGGCCAGGCTTCACAATGAGCTCACACGAAACTCTAGCTGAATAGGACCCACACCCACCCTCACACCTTGGCTCATGTGTTTATGTAGAAGATCATCATGGGGTCTTTTGTTCCCTCTTCGGGGGGAAACTCCCACTGGGTTTGAATCTGGGACTCTCCACCATTTGACCTTAGAACTGAAGAAGCCTCTCGGATGAGAGGTGAAACGTCTTCAAGCAACTCAAAGAAGTCCAGACGCCTTTCTTTCAAAGCTCCTTAAGCCTGGCGTACACTGTGCGACTTTTTCACTCGTAGCACTCTTTTTCAGCTCAAACTGTACGACTTCCTCGCAGAGCAGATCTCACGAGTCATGTGCTCACACTGCACGACCCAGTTCTCGGATGCGACCTGACTGCTCACACTGTACGTCTGGTAGCAACACGTCGGCCCTAAACATGTGCTAAAAATAGCCGTTTTTACTCAACACGTCAGACTTTTTTGTCTTGCCTGTTGTCCTTCGGGAGTGCTGCAGGAGGACACACAGGGATTTATGGGGGTTGGATGAGGAAAACGAAATAAAGAAAGTGAATCTGTGTTTTGTGATCAGTTTAATTTGACATGAACACGACAAACACGCTTTCTTGACAATCTTTGTGAGTAAAAAAAAACGTGCAGAAACAAAAACGAACAGTGTGTGTTATTAGGGAAATAGCGAGCGACCGGCGTTGATGCAGGATTGCGCATGCGCCGTGAGCGGTTCTGATACTTCTTTGGATCGTAGCTGCTCGCAGCGCCGCTTCAACAGTGCGATACCCTCACGAGGGACGAGCGAAATATTAAACACACCAGAAGTCCCTGCGACCTCACGACTGCTGATCGGCGGCTGGTCACGTGGTGTTAATCGCCTCTCGTAACCCCCTGTACACTACACGACCGCTCGGCGCAAAACTCGCCCCGTTGTCGTGGCTTCTCGCACGACTGGAAAATCGGCTCAAAAAAGTGAAAAAGTCGCACAGTGTACGCCCGGCTTTAAAATACAATGACCTGGATGACTGAGAACCTTCACAGACACAACGCCACAATTGTGAGACCATTGACATATATATATATATATATATATATATATATATATATATATATATATATATATATATATATATATATATATATATATATATATATATATATATATATATATATATATATATATATATATATATATATAACCTATCACTACATAAAGGTAATTTTCCTAAAACTATGAAGATAACAAAAGTGATCCCAATATTTAAAACTGGAAATAAGCATTCTATGGAAAACTATAGGCCAATAGCAATTATTCCACAATTTTCAAAAATACTCGAGAAATTATTTGTGAACCAGCTAGACGTATATATTACTAAAAATAAATTATTAAGTGACAGTCAATATGGATTTAGAAAAAACAGAACTACTACCTATGCGATAATGCAGATGGTAGAAGAAATAGCCCAAGCAAGTGAAAGCGAAGAACTCTCTATTAGCATATTTGTTGATTTAAAGAAGGCTTTTGACACTATTGACCACAGGAGATTATTGAAAAAGATGGAAAATTATGGCCTACGAGGTATAGCGAAGTCCTGGATAGAGAGTTACTTAAAAGACAGACAACAGTATGTAAAAATTAAAGATATAAAATCTGGATTTAGAGAAATAAGTTGTGGAGTTCCACAAGGGTCAGTAATAGGACTTATATT